GGTACCCCCCAGCTTCTAGGAGTAAATTAGAGCACCAGAATCACTTCTGCATTTTCACCCAAACACTCCAACTTTTGCTTCTGCTCCCTGAAGGAGCAGAAGCAGTTTTAAGAATCAGATCCAAACACCCCCTAAATCTCAATCATTTCAAAGAAGTTTTAAACTATCAAGTAATAATTAGATCATAAATGAAATTTTAAATCTTAATCATTTCAAAGAAGTTTTAAATTATCAAGAAGTTTTAAATTATCAAGTAAAATCTGAAATTAAAATTAGTCATGCCACTAAAGTACACCTACACTTATATAGTACTCCTACATACGTAGATATTGAGCTGGCGAAGGGATCTAGAGAAATTGGAGTGATTGAGATATTTGGAGAGCAATTGAGAGGAAAAGTTAGAGACGCCCAGATGATGAATTAAGTTGCTATCGCCGGTAGAATCTCAGGAGTCAGGACAATCAGAGGCATCCGTTGACTCGTCTTTCACCGCTTATTACCACAAACTTGATATATATATACATAATACATATATAATAAAATGAAGAAAAAGGAAAAAACCACAGAGGCACGAGCCCCTCCAAGCTCCAACGTAGTTCCGCCACTGAATACAGTATCACATTTCAACATTTCAAGAACAGTTCACGAGTTGTGGAAAAAAGCTAAGCAACAAATGGACCAAGGCTTGTCCATTAATGTTCAGAGCCTGCAAAAGGGAAATGTAGGCAGAAAAAGGGTAGCAGTTGACTTAGACTACATAAAGGATATCCCACTGCACAAGAGAAAGAACATCAAGTCTTTAGGCTATGCCATGCAAGTTTCAAAGTCAATCGTGCACAGACTAGTGAAAGCTAAGCAAATCAAAAGGCACTCAAATGCAATCAAACCTTTATTGACAGAGGTAGGCAAAATGAAAAGGTTTGAGTTTTGTTTAGGCCACTTGATCACTCATAGCCCCCCAAGAAATGCCATTTTTCATCATTTTATGACCATATTTACATTGATGAAAAGTGGTTTTTCTTATCTAAGGAAGCAACCAACTTTTACACTCACAGTACTGAAGAAGATCCATATAGAGCTGCCCAGTCCAAGAAATTCATACCCAAAATAATGTTTTTAGCAGTTGTGGGCAGACCAAGGTTTGGGGATGCAGGGATGTCATATGGGATGAGAAAGTAGGTATCTTTCCTTTTACATTTCAAGAGAAAGCAAAGAGATCAAGCAAGAACAGAATAACAGGCACACTAGAGACAAAACCTACATTAAGTGTCACAAGGGCTGTAATGAAAGACATGATGTTGCAACATGTGCTGCCTGCCATCAAATGTAAGTGGCCAGAGTGCCAGACAGTGTTAACAAAAGAGTGATCATTCAGCAGGACAATGCAAGACCACATGTTGATACAAAAGATGAAGATTCTGTAAAATGTGCAACTGAAAATGGATGGGACATACAGTTACAATTTCAGCCCCCTAACAGTACTGACCTAAATGTCCTTGAATTGAGCTTCTTTAGTGCCATCACTCACTAAAGGAACATCAAACCCCTAAGTCAATTTCCCAATTAGTAGAAGTTTTGACATTAGCATTTGATGCTCTCACAGCCACCACATTAAGCAGAGTGTTCCTCAGCTTTCAGTTTGTTATGGAGGAAATACTAAAGCACAGAGGAGGGAACAACTTCAAGCTGAGGCATGTTGGAAAAGAAAAACATGAAAGATAGGGCATGTTACCCAAAAATGTGGAAATCAGCCATGACATACTCGATGAAGCAAAAGAAACACTCATTCAGACGCAAACAATTGGGGTACAAGCAGCAGACCAGGCCCATGGGGGTGAGTTCATAAGTGAAGATCAAGTAGATCTTCAAGAATGAACTCAGGCACATGGAGGCTAATGTTTTTGTATGTACTTCCTTTATAGAGAAGAGGTACACTTTTGTATGCACTGGCATATGTGCCCATAGTACACATATTTTTGTAGTTTCTTTCATGCTTGGCATACAAGTATTAAATGTATGACCACAATGATTCAAATGTAGAAGAAATGATTAATGTTTTGACTTATCAATCCATCTAGGCACACATAGGTTGAGCATGAACAACAGTTTGACAATACACAGCCATAATCAATGTGCAGTGAGACTCAATACAGTAAGACCAAAACATATGCTACACATAAACACCAAATGCTTGTGCACACAATGCCCTAAATGGTCTCCAACACTTTGTACAAGTGGGTGACACAAGGACATAATGAGCCAAATATCCACAAATTCATAAATTGTCATCATAATGTTTAGATCATACAAGCCCCCATCATCATCAGTTAAGATACATAGAGTACATACGAATGAGATTAGAAGTACAATGCACACATATGAGTCACACATAAGAAGTAAACACACACATTCAGTTTGCAAAAGTCAATTATTACAGAGATTGTGTTTCATGAGCGACATCGGCATTACAAAATAGAGGGGCATAAAGTAAAAGAGATGAGATTAGAAACCTCCCTTAAGAGGAATAAGACCCCCAAGGCATCCACGGCCGTTTGCGACAATGGCCAAAGATGTGGTCATACTCATCCGGATACCATGGAGGTTTCGAGTTCACTTCCTCCCCTTCGTCCTCCGAAGCTGGAAAGCCTTCGTAAGTGTCCTCCACGCAGTCAGACCCCCATTTCTTCCGTATTGCCCATCCAGAGTCGGTTTCCGACGAACTCCACCCTCGTTGGTCAAACTCAACATCATCCTCGTCTGAGACAACTTCTGTTGAGGGTTTCTTCACCATAGCGGCCAAGGAATTCGGGTTTCCAGGGATGGGGTAAATATCAGAAGGAATCACGACATGCACGTTTGGATCTAGGGTTTCATCATCGCGGCGATTTGATTCATGAGCTAGGTTTTCATCATCCCGGCAAAGAATTTCAGGGACGAGAGTGTGGTTCGTGTTCTCCATGGACGAGAAAGGTAGAGAGAGTGGAGAGGTGAAGAGGCATCTGGATAGAAGAGAGAGATAATGACGTGCGGTATAAACGAGGGGTTGGCGTTAACGGGGCACTGAACAGGCAGAGGAAGGAGGGATATGGGTGGGGGGCATTTATGACTTTTTGGGTTTAAAAACTTTCCTTTTATGGAAATGGGAAGTTAATTTTGGGACATCCATTTAAGGAAAGTGGGAAGTTGTTTTTGGGACGGAGGGAGTAGTTCACAAGCAGTGTTGGCAATTGATCTATATTCTGCTTCTGAAGATGATCTGGCCACTGGGTTTTGCCTTTTAACCTTTCAACAAATTAGAGAATCACCCAAACACATGCAGAACCCAACGGTAGATCAATGTGTCTCTGGACATGCTGCCCAGTCGGAATCACAGAATGCTCGTAATATGTGACTGGTAGAGGCAGGATAGAATAATCCTTGAGCTGGGGCTCTTTAATAGTAGTGAGCGGCTATTAGATGAAGTTCAGTTGGTTGGTCAATGAACTAGCTCAATTGTTGAAAAGCATATAGAACATCTCTGAAACTCTAATACGTCCCTCTATTCCTGCTGGAGAAGTTAATTCTCCAGAAACTCTAGTATTCGTGTACACTTTAGTACTTTACATCACGTATATCTGAAATGTATTGAGTAGCTATATACTGTACACAAGCCTATTCTATATCTGATGTGGCAATCCTTATGACTTGCTGATGTGTCAATCCTGTGCCATAGATGACACATGAAATAATTACCAGGAACCTAGAAGTTAGCTTTAAAAAATGCCAATTGATATTTTCATAAGTTGGTGTATCAAATTGGGTGTTTCCCATTTACAAGGGTTTAATTACCAATACCGGATTAAAGATGGTATGGGGACTTGACTGTGTTTCCTTATATAAATAAGTTGTGATGGTAATTGACAATAAGGAATTTTCCCTTTAGGATAGTGGAACCTTGAGGGTAATTTAGTTCAAAAGAAAAACACTAATCAGTAAGGCATCCTGCTAAAGTCAACCAAAGTCTTATCGGCTCATTATTCTCTCTTTAGGGTTCTGATGTAGGATTATAAGTGTTTGGTTTGGTTTACTCAACTTGGTGGTGGCAATGGAGAATTTACGTAAGAGCCCCGGTGATAAAGAAAAAGCGGGTTGGTCCACGTTTTGCTAACTTAGACTCCATTCAAGGCTCCAATTGTGCAAATACAGCTTCTTGAATGGATGAAATAAAACGTAAATTAATTTCCCCTTCGTATTTCATCAATCCGTTCTTTGCACTTCACTTGAAAGTAAACAAACAATCAAGCCAGAGAGGTTGCTCTGGTACTATATTCAGTATTGAGGAAAAATAAGTTGTTTTGAATTATTGATAGAGCAAAAATTGGAAAGCTCAGAAGTACATCTAAATCGGCTCACAGGTTGCGCAATCTTCCCCATTTAAATTTGAAGTGTTCCATAAACTCTCTTGCTCAGAATGCTTTAGCTTTAGAGTGAAACCACACATCATGAAGTCCCATAGAGATAAGTGATAGTTGAAAGCCAAAGTAAAACTCTTTCTTCAAGTATAATTATAATTAGTGCCCACAAGTATTACCGCCACACACAGCGGTGTATCTTACCACCAGCATTTATGGTGCAGTATACCCCACATTGACATCAGTGTGTTATGGGCGTGGTTGGCATGCCCATATCACTGCGTGTCTTATTAGATGATGCATGTGTCAGACCTCAACTCATAAATTTCTGTTTTTCATATATTGTTTCCATGGTGATAGCAACTTATATGACCCTGTCAACATTTGTGCTGTAGAAGGGTTCTTTCATGCTTGTTCCAACATAAGCATAATTGTTGCCAGTGGGTTTATTAGATGATACAATAGGTACATATTTTTTGGTGTTGAATTTGGTAGCATTTGTGAAATATATTTAGTTTTTGTGCAATAGTGCAATTTGTACATTTTTTTTCCTTCTGTCAAATATACTTAATATTTGTCGACTCCATCACAACTATTTGCATTTTCCAGGCTTACTGGTGAATTTATGGACAGTGATGAGCAACACCTAAAGAAACAAAAGAACTCGTACAAATAAGTTGCAAATATTGTGTGCTTGCAGGACTGCATTTCTTGTGAATATGGTATTTGGCATGTGTTGGATCTGGTGGAAAGCTGTCGCTAACATAGAGTAAATCAGCCAAAATAGAAAACGCTGTACATTGTTATTTTTGTGTTGTCCTCTCCTCTGACTGTAATTTTGAGTGGCCTCTTGCAGTTTCTTATTTAGTTGATGTTGCTTTAACTAATATTAGCAGATGCTGTGCCAATTTTTCTTAGGCCATGGTTGTACAGAGTACTGTATACATAATACACTACTTCGTTGCTAGGGGTCTTTTACTGATCGAGAGGGTTATGACTTGTGAGTTGTACGTTGTGACTGCTTTATTAATCTCTCTTGTAATTCATTACTCCTTTTAACAAGGCTCAACATACTGAGTTAGGGAAATAATGTTATCATCCTCGGGTAGTGAATTTGGTGATCTGTGATCACATTGCTTAAAAACAGTACTCCTACCGTCCTACGTTCATGCTTAGAATTGAAGCTAGAATAGTAATGAGAAGAGAATGATTTTTTTGTGTATTTCATTGGAGGGTTAAGTCCCTATATGGCTATATACCCCCTCCGTCCAGCAAAGAACTTCCCGCTTTCCTTTTTAGCGGTGCCAAAAAGTTCCCCTTTCCTTAAATGGGAAGTTATCTCATCAAAACAGTGTCAAACAGTGCAAAACAGTGTCAAAATAGTAAAATTTATTCTTGGTAAGTTTATTTCCTTAATATGTGCGTAGCCGCGTAGGTCAAACCGGGAAGTTCTTTGCGGCAATTGCGGGACAGAGAGAGTATACATTACAAAGAATCAAAGAGAGAATATTTCTATAAGATTCTATATAATAATAATATTCCAGAGTATATTCTAAAGTACATTCTAATATCTTCACTCTCCCTAAAGTTGGAGCATATTTATCAGGACATCAGGAGATTTTTACTTGGACTATTTTTGATCCCATATCAGACCAGATCAAATTTGAATAGTTATAAAATATACAAAGATCATATATTTATCAAACCAGTTCAGACTAGATTGTTATAAAATATACAAATAGGGATGGACCCAGGCCGGTCCGATTCCGGTTCCGGGCGGGCTTTTTTTCAAATGATTGGGCCCGGAACCGGCCTGGGTTGATAATGGGTCCGGTCCTAACCGGGTTGGGTCGGGCCCGGGTCAAGTAATTTTTTTAGCTTTCTAACTAACCCCTGACCCCCCCCTTCACCCCCACACCCAACCACCCCCCCAAAACACCCAGCCCTAACCAAGAAAAACAAAAAAAATTGGTAAACAAAGTTCGGGCCCGGCCTGAAGTCTTGAACTGCCCGGGCCGGTTCAACAAATACTGGGTTTGAGCCTGGCCTGTCCACCCCTCCCCAAGCGGGTAAAAGCCCAGACCCGCTTAGCACCAACCGGGCCGGTCCGGGCCGGTCCGGGCCCGCACAGTGGCGGGTCGGGCCGGTTCCGGGGCGGGCCGAACCGGTTGGGTCCATCCCTATATACAAAGATCATATATTTACCAAACAAGATTGTTATAAAATATACAAGGGAGAACTGCCAAATAAGTCTTCGAACTTACATAAAAAGTTTAAACCAGTCATTTTATACGAGGTTTTGTCCGGCTGTTGCCATTTGGGGCGGTTTTCGGTTGAATTTTTTGATGAAATTTTTTGAGCATCTTCTTCATTGAGTCTAGTTTACTCATACCAAATTTCAGCTAAAAATTCAACCGAGAAGACAGTCAAATGATTTTCTTAATTTGGCTGTCTTTCCGATTGAATTTTTAGTTGACATTTGGTATGACTAAACTAGACTTAATGAATAAGATTTTCAAAAAGTTTCATCAAAAAATTTCACCGAGAACCATCCCAAATGACGACGGCCGGATAGAACCTCCTATAAAAGGGCTTATTTACACTTTTATGTAAGTTCGAGGGCTTATTTGATAGTTCTCCCAATATACAAAGATCATATATTTACCAAACCAGTTCAGACTAGATCAGGTTAACAAAATTCAGTCCAAGTAAAAACATCACTATGCCCAACTTGTTACATTAATAACCAACACTAATTCCATTTAGTGCTTAATTGAACAAATCTCCTAGTTGTTCTCCGGTGTTCACATATCCTGTAGAGATCAATTCTATTCGTATCTTTTCTCGAATAAAGTGACAATTGACCATAATGTGTTTTGTTCTCTCATGAAACACTGAATTGTTGGCAATGTGTATAGCAGCTTGGTTATCACACCATAGTTGAGAAGATATTGATTTATCCAGATTATTTCAAATCACATGCTGGTTGTGCATAACATGATATTCTGATTTAGCACTCGAGAAATCACATTTTGTTTCTTATTTTTCTAGGAGACATGATTATCACCAACAAAAATGCAATAGCTAGTTGTAGATCTTCGAGGGTAAGTCTAGCATGTGCCATCTTCCACGACCTCTCTAGTCTCTACCATTCTTGATAGTGTATCCAAGAAAGTCTTCTTTTATTTACGATTCTCAAGAAAAAAAGTAAAAGGTTTGAAGGGTAAACAAATGCAATTTGGAAACCAAGAACGATGATATATGGTTTCGAGTTAACGATAGAGTTGTTCGAGAATAATTAGGATTACATTAAATTCAGCTTATTTGAATTTTGAAGTAATCTTATCAGTTTGTTAAGCTATCTGTTAGTTAGAGAATATGTAGGATTAGATATCTGCATTTCAAATTATAATAATTATCCTTTGTATTTGAGTGCCTATATAAGGAGCACCACTCATTAATAAATATCAAGAAACATTTTACTCCTTATATGGTATCAGACGTTTAAGATCTGGAGACCTAAAACACAAAACTGTGTTTCACCATTACACATTCATGGCTGCTGAATTCAGCACAACCATATTACTAATCCTGCAGATAGTGCAACTCCGTTTGTCATTGTCCATTTTACAAATGCAATCAAATTAAACCCAACCAATTACATCACTTGGAGAGCACAAATCAAAGCCACTCTCACGGGTTATGATTTGTTCAAATTTTTGAATGGTGATCACCCACCTCCACCGCAGACCCTCACGGTCGGAAATGTTCCTGCCCCAAACCCGGCTTACACATCATGGTTGCGGCAAGATCAACTTCTTTATGGAGCTCTCGTTGGCACCTTGTTTGCTTCAGTGGCTCCGTTGGTGACTCAGGCCAATACTACACAAAAGGCCTGGGAAATTTTAGCCACGACTTATGCAAACCCATCCAAAGGTCATATAAATCAATTGAAAGACAAGCTGCGATCTCTTACGAAGGGCAATCAGTCCATCTCTGACTATATGCAAGGAGTTTCTACAACGACAGATTTACTTGCCTCGCTTGGTAAGCCGGTGGATGACGATGATCTCGTGAACTATGTGCTCAAAGGACTGGACCAATCTTATCAATCGGTAGTTGATGCGATCAAAGCTAGAGATTCAACGATTCAGTTCGCTGCTCTACACGAGAAGCTCATAGTTAAAGAGGTTGAACTCAAATCTATTATCACATCCACCACTGCTCCAGGGACAGCTTTCAATGCTCAAAGCTGATCCAATAAATTCAGGAACAAACAGCATCAGGCTCCGCAATATTGGCAGAACTTCCAATCTCCTTCACACCTAGCCCAACCTCGCCCTCCACCAACTTACACATATCCCCAAAACTATATGAACCAATCTGCCCATAACCGCCCTCCACAGAACTCACCCCGTCCTTTTTTAGGAAAATGCCAGTGGTGTTGCACACCTGGCCATGTTGTGAGCCAGTGCCCCCTTTTCAAACAACAAAATCCTCATGCCCGTCCCCCGTCCTCTAACCGATTTCCAACCATAAACCAGCCCTAGGCTCACATTAGCACAATTAGTCATCCAACAGAACCATTTCTTGTAGACAGTGGAGCTTCTCACCATGTTACCAATGATCTCAATAATCTTGCTCTCCATCAGCCCTATACTGGTCCGGATGAGCTTGCAGTTGGTGATGGTAAAGGCCTCTCTGTAACACATTCCGGTTCATTCTCAATTTCTGCCAACTCTAAAACATTCTCTCTCTCTGATGTTTTGTGTGTTCCACAAATGGCTAAGAATGTCATATCAGTGTCTAAGTTTACTACTGAAAATAATTACTCTATTGAATTCTTACCTCATTGTTTCTTTGTGAAGGATCTCACTTTGGGAACCCGGATCCTTAAAGGCCCATGCGTTGATGGTGTCTAGATTTGGCCATCTCCCTCTAGTCCTCAAGTTCAGTCATCCACTCTCTCTTCTGCATCTGCATGGCATCACAAGCTTGGCCATCCCTCTCACAAAGTTCTTAGATATTTGCAGCGTCAATTAGGATTTCCAAATTCCAGCATTTCTGATTGTAATTCGTGCTTATTAAATAAGAGCCATAAGCTTCCTTTTTATCAAAACTAGTATTTCACCAGTGCGTTGCACGGCCAACATTTCTTAATTTTAACAGTAATGTTTATATGAAAAGCAATACATAAAAAAATTACAATGTGTAATTGATGGTCACCAAGAAAATTTTAGAAAAGTAACACAAAATAATATGCAAAAAAAATATGACTTTGTCTTTGAAATAGCCGAAATCTTGAGATGAATTTAAAAATCCAGGATATAAATCCCCAACAATTTTAGATATAGGACCACCTGAAGTGTGTAAAAGAAAATCCTCTCGTATTCCGATGCAAACAGAACCAAGTATTAGAAACTGAAGAATAATATGTAAATGACAAAATGAAGTATAAGAAAAATAAAATCTCTAATTAATACACAATGGAGAGTTTCAGAATCACTTCTTTGTAGACCACATTTATTGCCTCATTTTTTATGTTACTTTCCTTGTCAACATCTTAGATTTTCAATCCCATTGGATTACTAAGGATGTTTTTATTTGGACCAAAATTTGCTGGTCTGGTATGGTCTGGTTTGGTCTGAGCTGGTCTGGTCTGCTCTGGTAAATGTCTGATCTTTGTGTATTTTATAACTATTGAAGTCTGGTCGGATCTGATCTGAACTGGTATGGTCTAGTCAATTCTGTTTAAGCTTGGTCTGATCTGCGACTGAAAACAGTCCAAGTAAAAACATCCTAACTTTGAAAACAATTGATGTATAGTTGTCCATAACTGAAGTGTGTCTTGTTTAAAAACCATCCAACATGAGAAATGAATTGTCACCAACTCTTATTTATCATCATAACATATGCTGATATGCAACCATGCCAAGGAAGTCTAGCCTAGAAACCCTTTGGAAAAAATATATCATCAAATTTCTTAGAGATATTACATTTAGACGTAGTCTTTTGAAACTCATCAATCAAACCAATTGAAACCTCTTCTATCCCTCAAAACTTTGTCAAGTTTAAACACTCTCGAGAATAACAAAATAAATACAATGTACTTGATGTTTGTGAAGATAAGAGATAAATAGTAAGAACCATGAATTAATTGATAAAAAGGAAATTGTGATAGTTTTTTAGACAACCAAAATATGAATGAGACAAGGTTATAAATGACGGGGAGTATAATAATTCCTCCGTCCCAAAAAATTTGGCCAAATTTCCTTTTTTGAATGTCCAAAAAGACTTGTCATTTCCATTTAAAGCAAGGAATATGTGGTTAAAATTAATTCACTCTCTTCTACACAAATTTCAACCACACAGTTTTTACTTTATTAATCCACGTGAAAGTCAAATTTGGTCAACCTTTTCAGGACGTAGGGAGCATTATTTAGGAATTAAAAAATATAAAAGTATGCATCAAACCCATAAGGTGTATAAATTGGCCCGTTTCTTCTAATTCTATAAACTCATTTTTTATCCATAATAACATAAGAAGTCCATTCAAATAACCAAATAACATTAACCTATACCCCGTAAAAGATAATCCTTAGGTTTCTATATAGTTACATATAACTATAGTGGCCGATCTTTTTTTCAAAATTCATTTACCTTCAAATTCATGTAGACATGTAGCATTAGGTTTCTGCTGATTTGTCAAATTTATTTACCTTTGAAAATTTTATCTCTAAGTCGGTCGAAACGCAGATAAGTACAGTTTTTTAAACAAAATATTTGGCTTCAAGTTCATGAGAAGAAATTTGAGTGAGATATATCGATTGTAATTTGTGCCTTTGAAAACTATCGTATCTTTGGAAGATGAACAAAGAAAGACTCAATAATGGTGGTCTGCGAAGCGCAAGCTTTCCTACCAGGTGAAGTTATCTAAAATTAAAACATCTATCGGATACATAATCCTAATTTAATCTAATATATTACAGATCTAGTCTACAATTTATATTTATAATTTGATCCTAATTTCCTATGCAAGGTCTTCTCAAAGGAGGTTTGCAGTGCTTCTTAAACTACGAATGTTATGTTAGTTTCTCGCCTCTAATCTCAACAATGATTTTTGTTTAATTTGATTCCCAAATCTGAGTAAGTTAATGTTTTCGGCAGGTTTTTAAAAAAACAAATGATTATTTCGAAATTTGTTTGAAAAACACTAATAATTACCGAATACATGCATTTTTCGACAATAAAATAGTAGGGTTATATATAAAGTACATCATGCTTTTGATTGTTCCACAATTTGTAATAACATAATGCATACTATCCTTTCTTTTTTAGTTGCAACATTCTTTTTTTCACGTTTAGCAATGCACAACTTTGATCATCATTATATTTAATTCTGTATTAGTAAAAAAAAATTAAAAATCAAATTATGAAACTTTGTAATGAGATGAATTCAACAATATTTTTCAAAAAACATAATTCACTAACAATAATAAATAAAATGTAGTCAAAGTAGAGTACTTGAATAGTGTGTAAATTTCAATGTTGCAACTAATATGATACGAATGGAGTATGTTTTAACTATGACATCTAACTACTATAGTTTAATTTAAAATAATTACCTATAAGTAATACTACCAAATGCATATTATTATATAATAAAGGCATGAAAATCTGATGTAAATATCAAACCCAACATTTTCACCGACTATATCTGCCTAACAAATTCAAAATCCTTTATTCCGTTGAAAAAATCCCACTTAAAAACATCACTTGTAGTTCTAAGTGGCATGTAAGTTTCCTGCCCAACAAAGTTTTTAATATAAAGATGTCCTTATTGGAATAAGTGTTAAAACTTGGGTATCTGATTCTTTTTAATATGAGCGTTAACTCTTTTCCCCTACTAACTCTTGTCCCCTACACACAGGTAGCACAAACCTTTTCGGCCCAACTTACTTCTCTTGAGTAATATTGTCGAATATAAATTCAATAGAAATGTCAAAAACCTGAACAATGAATGAATGAATAAGAGTATGCTATTCGGCTGTGTCAACGATTGTGCTGCAAATGGGAGCTATTTATACACATACACAAATGGGAATTTGAAAAGGCAATTAAACTTGGAAATCTGAAATACAATAGATATGCCAAAAAACAAAGGGGCGGTGAAAATTAAATGAAATATGAAATGGTTTATAGATGCCAGAAGATTTAAGAGTTAATGCCTCAAATAGGACTAATAGCAAAGTTAATTGCCCATTTAGGACTATAAACGAACCATATGTTTCATAGGACCATTTTAAGAGTAGTAGACTAAAATACCCCTCTTCTAATATTTTAAATTTTAAAAATGTAAAATTAAAAACTATTGAAACCCTAGCAGTGACACTGCCACCGCCAGAGCCAAACCGCCCGCCGCCGGATCCTGCCTCCGCCCTCACCGGAGATGACGCCGTATGTCGCCGCCCTCGCCGGTGAATGTGTCGCTCGTCGCCGCCCTCGCCGGTGAATGTGCCGCCCGTTGCCACCCTCGCCGCCTGCTGCCACATCCTTGACGGCCCATCATTTCCACTCATCGCCGCCCCCTGATCGCCGCCGCTTCCCACACTGGCGACACCGTCCATGGCATAACACAAGAGTTTCAGATCTGTCAAAGAGTTGGCAGATTCATGTTGAAATATTAACACAAAAATGCCATAAATTTGACAAAAAGTGAAAAAACATGAAATAAATAACCAAATATTCAAACAACTAAATTGATCGGCGTCGCCATCCACCACCACCGCCATCCTCTGAACACGACAACTCAGGCGGAATAAATTTGCCTTTATGTTGGCAGATATAGAGTTGTGGATTAGATCTACATCTTCCATAACACAAGAGTTTCAGATCTGCCAAAAAGTTGGCAGATTCATGTTGAAATATTAACACAAAAATGCCATAAATTTGACAAAAAATGAAAAAACATGAAATAAATAACCAAATATTCAAACAACTATGTTTTTTAGTGGAATAATTTTCTTAGCACAATAGCAAATTAGAAAAACGAAGCTATTGACAAAAAAACACTTTATACAAAAGCATTTCTGCCATAATATGATGTTAATGGACAAATTTCTGTCATACACTTGGCCAAATCCGAAACGATCATCCAAAATGTTGAAAATCTGAATTTGTTTTAAAACTCAAAAACTAGAAATCAAAAAATCAAAACAGAAGCCCAAAAATTGGAAAATTCAATTCAAAATCCAAAACAACAGAGGAAAATCGAAGAGGAAGAGGAAGAAGAAGAAAATTCAAAATCCAAAAAAACAGAGGAAAATCGAAGAGGAAGAGGAAGAGGAAGAAGAGGAAGAAGGAGAAGAGGAAGAAGGAGAAGAAGAACCTTAATGGCAGCGGCGAAATCGATGGCGTGAGAGGAAAGCGGTCGATCTTTTGCACAGGGCGAAGTCGACGGAGGCGGCGACGATGGCTTGGATGAAGCCAATGATGATGCGCAAGGAACCAAGAGAGAGAGAGAGGGATGTGCGCAGGAGAGAAGGGGAAGCGGTTGGGGAGATGTGCGTAAAGGGATAGAGGTTAATAATGGAATGAAATATACGGATGTTTTAAAATAGAAGTAAATCGATCCTATTTGGGGAAAAGAACATACATGGTCTTATTTGAGAATTTCTCTTCTTTTTTAGTCCTATATAGGACAATTACTTAAGATTTAATCGGAACATTTTCTATGGACTTGTTCGGTTTACATTGGAAAAATGAGCGCAATAGAAATGACGGTGTATTGGCAGGGAATATAAAAAGATGGTAAGCACATACTTGGAAGCAACAAACTACGAAGCATTAAAAGCATTAAATTTTCACGTGCATTGCAAACCTATCGGCCTATCCAAAATATTCCATTGGAAACTTATATGGATCTAGTATTCTAGTGCACCGAAGCTCTACCGATTTGCCAAGAAAGGTTTTGGCGGGAACTTCTTCTCCAAGAAAACTTTTGCTATTATATTAAGATAGATTCAATAAATTCTTCTAATGTTTTAGAAGTTATATATTCTGATGTGTGGTCTTCACCTATTATTTCCACTTCTGGCTATCGCTATTATATACTTTTTGTTGATCACTACTCAAAATACATATGGCTCTATCCTATCAAAAAGAAATGAGAAACACATGACATTTTCCTTAAGTTCAAAAGCTTGGTGAAAAACTACTTCAAACGGAGAATCAAGGTTCTTTATTCTGATAATGGGGGGAATACCTTGCTCTTAAAAATTTTATAGCACAATCTGGCATCACTCATCTGACCACCCCACCACATACTCCCAAACACAATGGGTACTCTGAAAGGCGTCATAGACACATTGTAGAAACTGGCCTCTCTCTTCTCTCTCACGCAGGCATGCCAACACAATTCTGGCCTCTTGCGTTTTCAATGTCTGCCTATCTCATAAACAGACTTCCTACACCCACTCTATCATACTCCTCTCCATATTCCATCCCTTTTCAGCGTCCTCCTGACTATCAAAAGCTCAAAAACTTTGGTTGTCTTTGCTACCCTTGGCTTCGCCCATACACAGATCACAAACTTAGCCAACGGTCTACTGAATGTGTTTTTGTTGGATTCTCACCAACTCAGAGTGCATATATGTGCCTTGATCCAACCACAAACCGCTTATATACTTCTCGTCATGTCCGCTTTGTTGAACATGTATACCCCTACAAAAATAAACCCATCACTAAAGATCCTACTGCCTACGACACAAATGATTGGTGTTCTCTTACGATCCCTATCATTTTTCACCATTACCTAATCCCTCATCCATGCCTCAAACCCATATCACTACTGCCGGTTATGATTCCTCTACCTCTACTACACACCTCATTGAACCCATACAACCAGCTGCACCAATTGGTGTTACCACTAGGTCCAAAAACAAAATCCATAAACCCATTAAAAAGCTAAACCTGAGTGCTCATATCCGTTCCCTAACCGAACCAAAAACCATCACTCAAGCCCTAAAAGACCCTGACTGGAGGTCTGCCATGATTGTGGAGTTTAATGCTTTATGTTCTAACAATACTTGGATTTTGGTTGCAAGTGGGTGTACAGGATAAAATATCATGCTGATGGATCTCTAGACGAGTTCAAAGCACGTCTAGTGGCAAAGGGTTTTCATCAAAGACCGGGACACAATTATGAAGAAACTTTCAGCCCAGTTGTCAAACCAGTTACGGTCAGGACTGTACTTGCACTTGCAGTAAGTCGTGGTTGGAGCTTGAGACAATTAGATGTTAATAATGCCTTCTTGCAAGATACTTTATATGAAGATGTTTTCATGGTTCAGCCACATGGTTTTGTGAATAAGCAATTTCCTGATTATGTCTGCAAGCTCAAAAAGGCTATTTATGGCTTAAAACAAGCCCCGAGAGCACGGTATACAGAACTAAAATCTTATCTTCTCAGCATTGGATTTCATGCTTCTGTTGCTGATGCATCTTTATTCATCCACCAGACTTTACATCATGAGATATTTCTTTTAGTCTATGTCGATGATATTATAGTAACCGGAGACAATTCAGACCTTGTTCAACAGCTCATTACTTCGCTAGCACATCGGTTCTCGCTGAAAGATATGGGTCCTTTATCTTACTTTCTAGGAGTTGAAGTGCAGCCACACCCTGAAGGTTTGTTTTTGAGCCAACGAAAGTACATTACTGATGTTTTGCATAAGGCAAATATGGCTGATTCATTGTACTCCTTATAAGAGTTATATTAATATTAATTCCTCCATTAAAATATCTAATATTGTAAATTAGATATTTTAAATTGTTGTATTTATTAAAATTAATTATAATGGCTCTGAATAGAAATTGCGTGACACCGAATAGAATTTCCCTTCTCAAAATCTCACTGCCCTAAGACTGTGAGTTAGGAGTGGATTGGGTTGGGCCGGGTCCGGATTGGGCCTAGGCCCGGGCGGGCCGGCGGTTCACCCGGGACCGGCCCGGGTAGCCACCGGGTCCGGCCGGGCCGGGTAGCCACTGGGTCCGGGTCGGGCCTCTGGTTTGGTTTTTTTTTCTTTCCTAACCCCCACCCCCACCCTCCCAAACCCCTCCTAACCATCAAGCCCAACCCGGGTGGAACCCCAAAAAATGAAAAAAAAATCAATTTGGCCCGAACCCGAGCCCGACCCGGCCGGGCCGGTTCGCCAAATGTGAGACCCGAGCCCGGACCCGCCCTACCCCCGGGCCTAGTCCCGACCCGGACCCGAGAACCGGGCCGGTCCCGTACAGTAGCGGGCCGGGTGGCCCGACCAGAGTCCACCACTAGGGTGAGTATGTTTCAGCTAATGAGGCATATTTCAGGGCCTTGGCGTATCCTCAGCCCATCATTATCGTCACCATTTATGCTTGCGCTCCCCCTGTTAAAATCAGAGTTTCTTAGCACCGTCCACTGCCGGTCTGCTTAGCCACTCCGCATTTTTATCTCTCCATTCTCGCGCTAAAATCATTTGTACATACGGTTGGTTTCAAACGCCGATGGGCTTAACAATTACACCATCTCTCTGCTCTAACTCAAAGGTGAGATTCTTCCTCCACTCGATATGTGTGTATTTCTTCGCGCTGATATAGTATATTGAAGGTCGAAGTATCTCTTTGTTCGTCTTTTTACTAATTTTGCTCAACTTCAGATTTACTTTAGAATCAATTCGTGGAATGCGAGGTTACAGAGAGCAGGTTTGATCAGGTCAGGTCGCTATTGTGCGCTGGGTGCGGTGGTTGAGCTCCCCCCACTGTGCATTAGTGTTGGTGGTAGTAAAAAATTGCTCAGACCGAGGAGACTAGTGGTGAGAGCGTATTCTTCTACTGGCGGTCCTGCTCGCTCGTCAGGTTCCAGGAGAGTTTACCGGGAATCCCAAGCCCAAGTTCCTGCCGTGAATGAAATTGCATCTTTTGTTCTTCCTGCTGGTGTCTTCGTCTTGGTTTCTTTAGGTACTGATTGCGTTGAGCTTTCATTTTTAAATATTTGCATTATAAGGTGTATTATGATTGCTGTTTCTTTACTTTGTTAGCAGTAATATATGCTGGCATTACATGTTTGAACATAAATGAAAGTAATTGAAAGACGTTATTGGGTGCATATTCATTTTCATTTTCATTTTCATTTTCATTTTCATTTACCCCAGTGCCCCAAAGGCTCCCACCTACGGTGGGGTAGGGGATCGGATGTACGCAGTCTTACCCCTGTACTAAAGCACAGAGAGACAACTTCATAACAAAGAAGCCATTTTGCTTTATTCCATCATAATCTCAAGCCAAAAAATAAAGAATCTTTGGCTCCATTGCAAATGATGGAAAATATGTTATTGGGTGCATACTTTACCAAATTTAAACAAATTGTTTACAGTTGATGGTCTACGTAGCTTTGAAAACAACTCCCTTCCTGTCGTTATTACTGGTTAGGATATATTCAAATTGCACATAAAAAAGGTCAAACGGAAAGAAAAGTCAAACACAGAGACATTTTCCTTTCTCCTTATTCGAGTCAGACAGTCAGTGCACCATTGGTGATTCAAGGTGAAGAGTTTGTTACATGCCTCACATGGTGTGCTAAAACAGAAGCGGACGCTGTTAACTAAACTTTCTTCATCATTCTACCAGCATATTGTCGAACCACTTTACTCCATCATGTCCCACTTATTGGGCACAATAGAGCGTGTCCCTAAATATTAGTCAGTTTCATACCACCAATACTTAGTAAAATTTATTTTTCGACAATCGCCCCTTTTAAATAAAGTGTTGGCTCTTGATGAAGGAGCCTCATTTCTTATCGAGATTGATGTGAACAATAAAGTACCGTCGAATAAGGGCATATTAGGAAAACTAATATAATGTAAAATGACTTTAACTATTTCATTGATTTTTGTGAAACCAAAATCGTGCCTTGTAAATAGTACTGAAGGGAGTAAGTGAGTAACACTTAACTACTAATTAGATGGATGATGTATGATACTTTTAACTTTGGTAATGTCTATTTTAGAATTATTATTTATTGTAATTGATTTAGATAGTAATTTTTATTAGAATTATGCTGATATTCTGTGTGTGTGTGTGTCCATTTCAATTATTATTATATTATCATGAAGTTATTTTTTTTTACAGAAAATATATGTGTGACAGTTAAAATTGAACTAAACAGTAAAATTGAACTAAACAGTAATAAAATTGAACTAAATATATGTGTGACAGTTAATTCATTTTTCTGAAAAGAACTAAACAGTAAAAAATAACTTTCAGCTGAACACTGTAAAGATAAAATTGATTTCTGGAAAATGTATATGGATTTTCCCCCTTTTGCTTCAATCAATGTTGTGCAGTATTGTTGCAGTAGGAGTTGATTACTGGCAGGTTCCTTCTCTTCACTGTATGTCCAACACAGTTCATCAGTGATGTGTAATACTTGAGATCTTCCTTGTTTGCTGCTAAATGTTCACCATTATTCTCAATGTTATAACTCTTTCTGTGTGTTTTTCGTGATTTCTCTGATTCATTTTCTACATAAACGCAGAGTGAGCTTAGTGTTATAAAGCAACAGAAATCTCAATTCATGTACTAATCAATTTTTTCAGTCGACAGTTTTATGGAAATTAGTGGAGAAATTTGTTATGCCAAAACGAGTTAGCCCTTCATCAGAGGAAAATAAAGCTACTAAAGGTGTGAAGTGGTCGTTCTCCCCTGGTACGAACTTATTATCTGGTTTTGGTCAAACGGTGGATAGGGAATCCAAGCAGAAGCTCAATGAGTTTGCAAAGGAGCTTAGACTGTACAACTATGTTGATTTGTCAGGTAGTGGAACAGTTAGTTGCTATTTATTTCTAGGGATACTGCCTATTGACTGTTGTTTGAAAATTGAAGCAGATTGTTAAATATAAGGGTTGCGCAAGCACACACAACTCCTCTTTCTGAGGACTTCCAATTATAATTCCCAACTTAGTAGATAATTTTTGATTACCTTATATTGTACTGCAGTACACCTTTTTTCTTTAGTCCGTATGTAACTGAAGAAATACTTTGATGAATATGTGGCAACATCTATTATAAAACATTCAAATAGGACAACATTTTAAGCCAACTTATATGTACTTTGTTAATTTTGTAAAATGATACTCTGTACATTTACGTGTACTCTTACTCTCCCTTTTCCATCATTTGCAATGGAGCCAAAGATTCATTATTTTTTGGCTTGAGATTATGATGGAATAAAGCAAAATGACTCACTAAACTGTCTGCGCTTCTTTGTTATGAAGCAACAGTCACTCCATGCAATTTTGGACGGGATTTTCACTATGGGTCATCCGGAAACAGTCTCTCTGCTTTAGTACAGGGGTAAGACTGCGTACATCCGACCCCCCCTTACCCCACCGTAGGTGGGAGCCTTTGCGGCACTGGGGTAAATGAAAATGATGATGAAAATGATTTACAGTTGTTTGCATGCCATAACTGCAGGGCTCAACTTTGGAGACGAAGGGTTATTTTTTTTGGCTGAAAGTTTAGCATACAATCAGGTAGTTCTGTTTCTATCTTTGTCTTTGGTCTATGTGTGCCGAAATGTCAGATGCTTTAGGATTATGAATATTTCTTAATTGATTGCAAACCCCATATATAACTTGTGTGCTTCCTTCAACTATACCCCCCATTGTTTAATGTAGATGTTTTTAGTCCCTTGGTATTGTTTTTTATTAGTCAATGTCTTATAGGAGTAATTAATAAGATAGATAAACTTTTGCATTAATTGATTGACACTTCTAGTAAATACATTAAGTATCTAAGTTTTTTATCCTCCCAAGTCTACAGAAGTGAGTACGAAACAATAAACCGGAAAGTAAATGTTCCTTAGTTCTTGTGGTATATACTAAAACATCAAATAAAATGTTCCTTTTATGAAAGTATTTTCAACAAAAAACATTTCCATATCATTTTAATATTAAAATTAATTGCCTAAAAAAATATATCAGTAGTCAAAGTATAAGTGTATAACATGTTTGATCAAATATATCAAAGATAACAAAGTTGTAAGGAACATGTAGTGATACGTAGCGAGTAGTAATACTTGTAATTGATAACAAAGCTAAAGTTATGTGCAAGTAGAGTATACGCGAGTAAGTTGTAGCACCTTAACAACTTTCCTATAAAAATGTATAAGTAGTCAAAGTTTAACATGTTTGACCAAAAATATTAGAGATGGCAAAGTTTTAAGGAACAGAGGGAGTAGTACGTAGCGAGTAGTATTATACTTGTAATTGCTAACAAGGCTAAAGTTTGTGCAAGTAAAGTATATGCTAGTAAGTTATAGCACCTTAACAAGCATTTTGGTTGATATTTAGCTTCTTTATCAATGCACGTTTTCTGGCATTTCAAAATTTTCAGACTGCTGAGGAAGTGAGTTTTGCTGCTAATGGAGTCACTGCTGCTGGACTGAAAGCTTTTGATGGTATCCTGCAATCAAATATTGCCTTAAAAACTCTTGACTTATCAGGAAATGTTTTTGGGGATGAAGGTGCTAAGGTAAAACTCATGTAGTGCTTGTTTGCCTCAGATTTTTATGGAGCTAATCTATAGCAATATCCTAAGCTATCCACAGAAGAGAAAAAGGAGTTGAAGCCTCTAAGGTCAAATAAAAAGCAATGTTTCTTTTATATGAGCTCCATGTTGGCGCATTGTGTTATGCATGTCTTTTGAGAGATTGTTTAATTTAATGAAAACTAAAAGTTGAAATGACTAGTAAAATGAAAATAAAAAGAACTGGAATGTAAGCAGATCATGTTTTATCTTTTATTTTGACCTGTTACGCTATCTTTCATGATATCCTATTTGAAGAAGAATTTGAATGGAGTTGTTTTATTTATGTTTTCTAAGTCAAGGGCACTTTAGTACTCTTTTAGTTTTCCACTGAAAGGATAAAAGGGAAATGAATGAAAGTTCACTCTTTTTTGTCAATGCCGTATTCTTTTTCAAAGCATCAGATTACTAGTAGCTTCTGGATGGGGTCCAGAAGCTGAGACAGATGATACAAAATATTTTTTGTTATTAATTTGCTGATAGTTTCTACTTTTAGTTTCACCATCTGTTGAGTATACCAAATAATATCACTGCTATCTTATGCTTTTCAGTTTCTTTCTGAAATTCTGGTGGATAATGTTGGTATTCAAAAACTCCAACTGAACAGTACTGGCATCGGGGATGAGGTAGGAACTCATCATTCTTCTTAACGCTGATAAGGCTCTATCAACCATTAGATGAGGGTACACTATTTTTAAAGCCAATCTTATCTCCTTTGCAGGGAGCCAAGGCAATTGCTGAGATGCTTAAGAAAAATTCAAACTTGCGCGTCCTTGAGCTTAACAATAATTTAATTGACTATTCCGTATGATATGAATATGTGGTGCATTCTGTTTTTATTTCTTCCCTACCACTTGTTTTCTAAACAAAATTTCATTCTCCTTCATTTTAATGTGGAGGTAGGGATTTGCAGGTCTTGCTGAAGCACTACTGGAGAATAGAAGTTTACAGTCGCTATATCTCAGGTCTCAAAATATTTCCATTTGCATCCTTAAAGTTGTAATAACTTCTATAAAAAATAATTATAATCATTTGGGTTTTTGCTTTTATGTAATTTTTCTTTTATTTTTCAATGTAATTATCTTGTTGGGTATGAATATATCATGCTCAAAGATGTTGAATGTTGTGTTGAAAAATGCATTGACCTATACCCTTGCCTGTATTCCTAACCTATGTTACTTTTAAATGTGAATGTTCGAAGTGGCAATTATGGAGGCATCTTAGGGGCTGCTGCCCTTGCCAAAGGCCTGGAAGGGAACAAATCTATACTGGTACTTCTCCATTCTGTACTTTCAGTTTATCTCTCCGCCTCTTGCCATTTTTTCTGAAAGGGGTTGCTGTTTAGTGTTGAAGTAATCAACATACTATGCCAGGAAATTTATTTGCATGGGAACTCAATAGGTGATGAAGGCGTGTGTGCCCTAATGTCTGGCCTATCTTCACGTAGAGGTTTGCTTTCTTAGTTTCCTCACAGCTAAAACCAATCTCTTTGAAAGCCGCTCTCATGCTCTATTTATTAACACTGCTCTATTTGATCATTGTAATATCTCTGCAGGAAGACTTGTCAGGCTGGACATTGGTAACAATTCCATAAGCGCTAAGGGTGCCTTTCATGTTGCTGAACATATCAAGAGGAGTAAAAGTTTGCAGTGGTTGAACCTTTATATGAATGATATCAAGGATGAGGTGACTGTCTATCTCTATGTTTTGGACTTCTATAGTTTCTTATTCTATGATTATTATTTGAATGAATGACCATAATATAACTCCTAGTTTTTCAGTGGACAAAAATAGGGCCATTTTTAATATGTAGTGTTTTCCAAAAAAGTGGCCAAAATAGGATTGTATTATCTCAAACCCTAATTATATCCTATCTTTTTTTTCTCCCACACCAACCTCCTAACATTTACCACTCACCACTGCCGGCCGCTGGAAATATGACGTCTCCATTTCACATTTTCCCCATATTTCCAGGGTTTCTGTGCAACATAGCTCCCAACTGTACCTTTATATTGCAATCTTGAGATTGTCTTCATGCTCCAGGAGCTAAACTGATGTATACTGAGAAACCATCTTTTCATCAGCATCGTAATCCTAGATGTGTTAGTGTTGACAGCATGGAACTTTGTGTCAGATATAGGCAAATTGACTTGCAAATGCCTTCAAGAGATCATGACGTTGATTCTCACTAATGTGTCATGTCAGAAAAGCATTGAATAAGGTCTTCACTTCATAGTAAGCGATCATGACGTTGATTCTCACTAACGTATTAGTACAGCCCAAGGACATTTGAGGCTATGTGCCTATGTGCAAAATAATAAAATAATAACAATTAGCAATTGTCAATAGTTGTTTAAAATTATCCAACTCTAGTACACAATATACACTTCAAATTGATGGGAAAAACATACATGCCAAAAGTCCTTCATGTTGACCCTTTTGAAGAAGGAATAATGCTATGAAATTCTAAAAATTCCCATCATAATAGGCTTTATGATGGGAAACATTAGCCTATTATGATGGGAATTTTTAGAATTTCTTAGCATTATTCCTTCTTCAAAAGGGTCAACATGAAGGACTTTTGGCATGTATGTTTTTCCCATCAATTTGCATTAGAAACATTACGAGTTCGATGAGTTGAATTTCAAATTGTGCTTGTTCTCTTGGTTTTTATTTACCATTTACAATAAGATTTTCAGAAATTGCCTTAAGTAGGACTAAAAACGCGTGTATTCCAAAATAGGTTTGTCATGTTTTTATTCCCTAAATAGGAGTAATTACTGCCATGTTTTGTCAGTACCAGACTTTAAACATGGCAGTATTTTTTAAATTTGGTAATAATTAATCCTATTTATAGTATAAAAACATGACGGTCCTATTTCGGAATTTTAAAACGTTTGTCCTCCTTTTTCGGGAATTTTCCCTAGGATTTTAGGTATTATACTATATTTCTGACGGATGTCAACCGTGAATGGTGGGGAAACACAGGCGATTGATTTGGCTGACAAAAAAATCTATTGATAAATGCACTCATATAATATTACTTGTGTCCCAGGGAGTTGAAAGAATAGCAGAAGCTTTGAAGGAAAACCGTTCAATAGTAAACTTGGATCTAGTAAGCCCATTTACTTATGTTTTATACTCTGTATCATTTCTCACTCCCACCATTCTTATTTGGACTTTGATTGAGATTTTGACTTGGTTTGGAGATCAGTGTTGAACCATCTGTCTAATCAGATCTTTTGTACTATCCTCTGTTTTTTATAGTTGTAACATAGATAATTTTTACAGTATTCACATTAAAAAAATTCATTATCTATTTTTTTATATACTAAAAGAGAATTGAATATAATAACGGCCAAAGTTGTGTGTTGGCAAACGTGAAAATGGGAATGTTGCAACTAAAAAAGAACGGAGGAAGTATTAGGGATTGTTTGCCTTATTTTCCAAAAGATACAATATAGACAAGTAAATAATTACTTCCACATCGTCAAGCTCATAGTACAGGCATTGAAAACTTTCTGCAGGGGGGCAATGATATACATGCACATGGTATTAGTGTCTTTGCTCGAGTTCTGAAGGACAATTCTTCCATCTCAGTTGTTAGTGAATCAAGCAACTACATTCTTCTCTCATGCAAATCATTTTTTCATTTATGTTCATGTAAAGCTGACATAATGCTCATCTCTTTTGCCAGTTGGAGCTTGGATATAATCCCATTGGACCTGATGGTGCAAAGACATTAGCTGAAACTCTTAAATTTCATGGGAATGTGAAAGATCTCATGCTCGGTTGGTGTCAGGTATAATCCATTGATAGCATTTTGTATTTTAACATCCTTGTCAAGTCAATTGTTCTTATATGATGATGATGATGATGATGATGACGACGATGATGATGATGATGAGTTTCTTGCTACCATATACAGATAGGGGCCAAGGGTACAGAGCACATTGCAGATATGCTGAAATACAATGATACCATATCAAGTCTTGACCTGCGGGCGAATGGACTGAGAGATGAGGTTGGTTACTCCAATACTCCTGTATATTTTATTACTCCCTTTCTCTGAAGACGTCCTGAGTACGATTTAGGCACAAAGATTTGGAAAATAAAATTTATTCACAAGAGAAGTAAACAATATCAAAGACCAATTTCATTCCTTAAAAGTTAGTAAATGAAGTCTTTTGAGGTTGGCAAAGTTTTGAGGGATGGAGTATAATTGGTTTATTTTCTTGGACTCATCGAAAAGAGCTCATGTACAAGTATTTTTCATTTTGTCAGGGTGCTATATGCCTGGCTAGAAGTTTAAAGGTGGTGAATGAAGCGTTGGCCTCGCTAAATTTAGGGTTCAATGAAATTAGAGTATGTTACTTATTTTCACAGTGCTTTACATGTCTGAAGAATATTTTGATTCCTTCAGCAGATCACCGTATATGTATTTTAATTTTTACCTTCACAGGATGGAGGAGCTTTTGCGATTGCTCAGGCACTCAAGGCAAATGAAGATGTCAGGTTGACATCCATTAATCTCTCCAACAACTTCTTTACCAAATTGGGACAGGTAAAGCACGGTCTTCCTTCTCGCAGGCCTCACTTATTATACTCCCCCCTAGTTATTGTAACAATACTACTCATCAAGACTAAAAACATTACCATGCAGACTGCCCTATCAGATGCAAAAGACCATGTTTATGAGATGAATGAAAAAGAGCTCACCATTGTTTTCTAGGCAAATTCATTTCAGAAGAGGCATGTGCAGTTCTTTTCCAATTGAAGAACTGTGCTCATCTGTTAAACTTCAACCGGGCACAGGCTGGAGGGGGTGCATAGGATTTTTGAAGATCTGTCAAATTTTGTTGTCGTGTTTTATTAATCAGATATATGTAAATTAATTTGTTCCAGTTCTTTATTATGTGTTACAGGAATCTAGCGTGCCATTGCTTTAAATGAGTCTCTATCTTAGCAAATATTTTCAAGATAGTCGAAAAAGAAGATAAGCATTTAGCAATACCCATATCAGAAGCACCAAATTAAGTTGAAGGGACTTTCAAATTAAGTCCATGGCATCTTTCTGACTTTTGAGTTTTTAATGAAAATTCAAACACAAATAATTTGGGCAGAATGGCAGATTCAGTAAGTTTGCGTGTGATCAAATTCGGTAGTCCAAATCATTTTTGTGAATTCCCACACAAGTAATCCTTCTAGGGTGTAGCTGTGTAGCCAGAAGCGAAGGTTGGAATGAGTTGGTATAAATTAGGTTGGAAATTTGGAATAAGTTGGTATAAAGTTATTTCAGATAAATTCTTACACTAAAAGTACAAACAATGAAACAATATTCAATTTAAAATTTGGCGTGGGCTGGGGAGTGGGGACCATTTGGCCCCTGAGTCCTACGTCCTAAAGTGACTAATTAGAGAGCGAGGGTCGTTCAGGTTGGATATGATTTGAAGGACAAAATATCCCAATTCGATGGAAAAGAGAAACACCATGTTATGAAGATAAGCTGAGTATGCTGTACGCCAAGTCCCTGTGGACTGTGGTTCAAATCTGCTCTTTCCATTCTTTTGCAAAAAAGTGTGCCCAATAACAATTAACAAGTGTCCTGTCAAGAACTTCTTTAATCAGATTTGGGTATATCATATATGGTATATTTGGTCTAGGGATGGACCGGGACTGGATCGGGTTGGGCCCCGGGCTGGGATTGGGTAGGCTCGGGTCTAAAAATTTCAGGTCAGGTGCCGGTCCGGGCTAGTATCGGGACTGAGCCAGGGTTGGGCCTAAACAGTATCGGCTCGGGCCGGATTGGACAATAAATTAAAAAAATAATGCAATCAGGCCCGAGTCTGATCGGGTCGGGCCCAAAAAACGAGCCCGAAGCCTGCCCTTAAACCCACTAGGCCGGGACCGGGCCTATACATTAGCGGGCCGGGCTGGGCCTAAACTCGTTTACTTGTGCTTTTTTGTCGTTTTTTGTTAAAATATTGGTGGGCTAAGTCTCGCATTTTAGCATGTTTTTTACTAAAGAATTGGTCAAAAAAATCATGGATCCACATATAACTCCTTTTTGGACTTATAGACTATTCGCATAATCATCACCCCACATATTTTAATGAGTATTAAAAAATGTTTGGTTTGAAACATAGCTAATATGAGAGATATATAGCTCTTCCAAACTACTCACAAACGGTTAGGAATGTTCTTTGTACTAGAAACAGGATTGACAAAGTAATGGTAAGTCTATACTCTACACTAATACACATGGCTCCTTAAAAGTACTCCACACATATGTGCTTTTGCCTAATATCCTAATATTAAATTAGCAAGAATCACATTTTAGCCAATTCACTTTTATTATAAATATATCTGTCAGGTCTCCTATTGGAGAATCATTTCTCATTATTTCACATGATATCAAGAATTAGAGTTTAAAAACTTTTTCTCTCTACAAACCCTCCACTCGCCGCAAACATGCATGCGGCCGTACCCAACAATGCTATGCATACAGGGCCCACGTCCGAAGCGTCTCCTTCTCTGACGGCAGCTTCGACGACTGACACGGCATCTTCCGGCACAGCGCCGACAATCACCTCCTCCGCTGCAGCAGTGTAGTCATCCGGTGCAGCCACCGTCTTCCAGTCAGCTCCGCCACTCAGTCAAGCTCACTTCCAAACGCCAGGTCTGACGTACATGATTAGAGACCACAATATTTTCATCTCAAAAACATTTAAAAGGTTGCCAAATATGTCATATTTATAAGGGTGCAATATTTATCTAGTTTAAAATAGGGATTGCAGGTATGCTTCCACAACTTTGCAGGGATTGCAGGTACGACCACATTAACCTTTTCATCTGATTGTTTTTTAGTCATAAATTCATGCAATAATGTTTATTTTCTGGTCTTGTCAATACAAAAACTTTAAATAAAGTAAGGACAAAACTTTTTAAGTAGGGAGCAAACTTTAATAAATATAATTGTCATTCATGAAGTACAATAGATACATTTTACACTTTTCATAATCAACATATTTTATTATAAACTCGACATCAATACAATGACATATTTGATTACATTCATCTCAAATATTTTTGTAAACAATAAAGCCTTTACACTACAAATACATAAACCACGTCTTTAAAATGGTCTTTACCGCACCTAAGCATATCCCACTCTCTAAGGCTCAAAATACAACTAAACTCCTGCAATTTTATTTTTTGGATAAACAACTCCTGCAATTTTAAAAAAGTACAATCAGATGCAATTTTAAGTAGAGCCTCAAAAGTTCTAAAGAAGATGCAAATTTCAAAATATTTTGATTACCTTTTCATTTGTTTAACAACATGTAAACAAACAGAATGAATAGAAAACATACGACTTTAAATACGACTTTAAATGCAAACAGAAAACACAAAATAATTGATTAAAAGGGAAAGTAGTAACGTTTTTTAGGACGTACCAAAAAGGAAAGATGTCAAAATTTTAAGGGACGCATGAAGTATTATACTCCCTCCGTTTCCAAAAGAAAGTCACGGTTTGACTTTACCATTATTAAGGAAATAAGGAAAGTGTGACTTTGTTTTTGAAACATGTCAAAAAGGAAAGTGTGAGTTTCTTTTAGAAATGAAGGGAGTATATAGATATTTTTTGGGAAATTCATGGGATCCCGGGACTAGGGATGGATTCGGTTCGGGTCACCCGGCCCGTGACCCGGCCCGGCCCGCTACTGTGCGGGCCCGGGACCGTCCCGGTCTAGCGGTCCGGGACCGGGTGTAGACCCGAACCGGGGGGAAGCGGGGGCGGGCTCGGTTCCTGCAAAAGGTGACCCGGCCCGACCGGGTCGGGCCCGGGTCCGGGTCACAACGGCTATTTTTTATTTTTATTTTTTTTTGGGCCAAAGATGACCGTTGGGGTGGGCTGCAGGGGGGTCCGGGGGGTTTGGGGGGTGGGGGTGGGGGTGGGGTAAAAAAAACCTATAAATACTCCTAATCTTAAACATTTTTCCATATCTCTTCTCCAATTCTTCCTAAATCCTACTCTTAACTCTCTACTCTCTAATTATCTTCATCTTCTCAAATTCTCTATTCTCCAATATATTATATTTATATATCTACTTTATATTAATTATCTACTTATAATTTATAAATACATACATTATATTACTTATATTTCTTATCTAATTATATATTACTTATACATTTATTATATCTATTAATATAGTTGGAATTATATCTAATTAATTTGAAGTCATTCTATTACTCTCATCCGAAAGACCGAAAGTCCGAAAGAGGTACGAAATCATTCTATTATTTACACTTGTTTAATTTTGTATTAACATTACTTGAAGAAAAAAAAAACTAGTTAATTCTCATTATAGTTAAAGTTAAACTATAATAATTTGATTGTTAGTAAAAAAATAGGTAGTACAAAAAACTAGTTGGTTAGTTAATTAGTTTTCACACGAATTGTTTAATTTTTCATTAAACAAATTGTAATTAGTTCTTTATTACAATTTTTTATTAATTGCTACCTTTGACTCTAGTTTAAAAAACTAGTTAATTCTTATTATAGTTAAAGTTAAACTATATTAATTTGATTGTTAGTTAAAAAATAGGTTGTACACAAAACTATACAATTTTGACTAGTTAAAAAATTATTATACAATTTTTGTATTTAACATATGATGTTGATTTTGAAGAAGATGATGATTTTGACGTACTAAACTCGTGGAAGGGAAAAGAAAGAATGTTCCCAGTTTTAGCAAAGATGGCTAAACAAGTGCTATCAATGCCGGTTTCAACAGTTGACGGGGAACAAGAATTTAGTTCGGCCAGCAATGTCCTAACGCAATGTAGAACGAGGTTGAACGCAGAATCTCTTGATATGCTTATATGCTACCACGATTGGTTGAAGGCGGCCCGTAGAGCTCAAGAAATTGACATCACCCCATCCCAACACTTTATGGATGAATCTACAACCGAGGGTGACTCTACCTATGTCGGAGATTCCGATTAATTACAATTTACAAAATGTATTTCATATTGTATGTTTTTCTTAATTGTCAAATGTAGTTCCTATTTCATTTCAAATAAATGCACTTGAAGTTTGTTTTTAATACTTGTATAAAACTATAAAGTATAAAAAAAAAAATTAAAATAAATGGATTTAACCGGCATGGCCCGATATAGCGGGTGGCCCGACCCGTGACCCGGGTGGGTGGCCCGACCCGAACCGGACCCGTCCAGACCTCGGACCAGTCCCGAGTCTATTAGTTACAAACCGGCGGCCTGATCGGGCCTAAACCCGGCCCGAGGCCATGTCTACCCGGGACCCGTGGGACCCTTGGTGGGTCCGCCACTGTGTGACACTAATGGAGTAATGGGTGCACTGCATTATTAGATTTATCTTATGATGGTAGGCCTTCTCAAATCTCAATCATTTCCCCAATGGGAATCCTAATAAAATCAGCGGGCGGTATGAAATTGAGCAGGAGGCAAAACAGACAATTAGTGCGCTGTGGGGGCAATTGGGAAGTGATGATATGGATAGAGTTTACGCTTCACTCAAATGCAGATAAACTAAAGCTAGAGTACATTAATGGTGAGATAGTGCTGTTGACTACCAGCTGACTTCCATTTCCGCAGACTGGTCTGTGTAAGAGAGGTCGATGACGAGGCCGAGGCGGCATTCTCCGGCCCCACTCGCAGTTCCGTTACTGTGGTGGGTGGTGATCTACTTCGCCGGCGTGCTGGGCTCGTCTTCTCCGGCACAGAAGGACGAGGAAGGCGTCATTGGATATGGTTACAGAGTGGTGTCAGTTGGGAAGGAGTCCTCCGGGAGATCTCTGACGGCGGACCTTCGTCTCATCAAAGAATCCTCCGTTTTTGGGTCTGACATTCCCTCGCTCAATCTCGTTGCAAGGTACAGAGTAATAATTCCCTAAGACCTATTAAAACTTCTAAATAGGTTTGGCGCAAAGTTTAAGATAGTGGGTATCGTGTGGTGGAGAGTTGTGAAGATGAGAGAGAAATGTGTAAGAAATGTTGTGAAACACAAATTCTTTACTAAAAAGGGAAAGTGGAAGTTTTAATTGGAACGGATAAAAAAGGAAAATTGGAAGTTTATTTAGGAACAGAGGGAGTACAAAAGACAAAAATGTGACTAGTTCTTAAGTTTTAAAAAAATGTGACTTACTATATTATTTATGCCCTTATTTGTTATTACATTAATTATTGGTTGTGTTTTTCCATTTTTATAATTAATAATTATTCAATCATTTTAGTCACCCCAATGATCGCCCCCGCTCCCCAGAAGCACTGCCGCCGCCACATGCATCCCCGCCACCACTAGTGACTACCCAATTAGTGACTCGGTCACCATGAAAGCCCAAAATAGTGACTCAATCGCTCTCCGGTAATGACCTGCCCCTAAACCATAGTTAAAATGTCATAGTGACTTGTCATATATTGTAACTGAAATTCACTTTAATTTAGTAATGTGTGTTCATTGACTCGTGTTCAGTAACTTCCACCCAACACCCAATGGCTAAACACCACACTGACCCAACAGTTCTAACCATGACTACCACCGGTCATTGAACAAGTGACCCACATCCTCCTATCCATCAATACCTAACACACCCTTACCTAGGGTTGGTTCGGTACGGTATGCCGAAATTTCAACGTCATACCGCATACCGTAACGAAAATTCGGTATTGGTAAATGTCATACCGTTACCATACCGAGATTTTTCTACTTTGGTAATATGATGGTCGTCCGCCGTATAAATATTTTATCAATATACTTTATCATTTGTTTATAAATATAGAATGAGCATAGACGAGATTGTTCATATTACCATGATGGTTAAGCTTTAGCAAATAATAATGATCGTCCGCTACTCCGTGCTTCGTCAATGGCGTCTTCGTCACTCGTCCGCATCTCCATCGTCAATGCTCAATAGTCCACAGCTCTGTCACTCGTTGAAGAGAAGAGAAGTTGCTTGACTCTACGTTATTTATTTGGGGAGAATTTGACTTTGCACCCCATGTTTTGGGTGATATTTGAGTTTGCACCCTATTTTCAAAATCATTAATGTATGCACCTCAATTCACTATAAAATTATTTGACTTTGCATCGCACTCCTTCACAATTTTTGGGCTAATGGGGTGCATACATTAATGATTTTAAAAATGGGATGCAAAGTCAAATATCACCCAAAACATAGGGTACAAACTCAAATTCTCCCATTTATTTGATTAGAGATTTAGGCCTCTACTTGGGAGAACTAGAAAAGGGTCGTAGTATTATAAGACGGGTTATTTTAATTTTGGGCCTTGGTATTTTAATAATTTCATTTAATGGGTTTGGCCCTAAAAATTTACAAATTCTATTTCGGTATATCGGTATTTCGATATATATCGTACCATACCAAAAATTAACGGTATTTCGGTATATACCGAAATACCGAAAATTTAAAAAATCCATACCTTTACCGTACCGAAGTGACCCGGTATGATATCATGCCGTACCGAACTTTTCAGTATACCGAAAATTTCGGTAAATTCGGTATTTTTCGGTATGGTATGGCCGGTATACCGAAATTTCGGTATATTTTCCCACCCCTGCCCTTACCCCAGGGATATAAACCCAACACATCCGCCCTCCCATTGTTGCTCATGTAAATCACACCTTAGTCACTAGAACAAACCAGGGGTCCATCAAACATGAGTCTGAGCAGCAGCAATGGATGCTCCAACGGCGAGATGGGTAAGATGGCCGGTAGTGATGAAAAAACATGAAGAAGGTGAATGAGATATGATCAACTATGACCGCCGCCATAGCTAGTGTGGTTGCCGGCACCACTCGCGTTCTCACCGCTTGTGGAGACATTGCCGGCAATATTCGCCACAAGGAGTTGGCCGCCATCGCTTCTTGTCCGCTAATCGCTGATGTTCGTCTCAGAGGGTTAGTGAGTTAGTCATCACCATTGCCGCTCATCGCATATGTTTGCGGCAAAGCTGCGCTTATTAATTGGTTGAAGAGGATGCTTGAGGGATTGATGAAGGCTAGGTCAAGTGGGAATATACGGGCTGGACATTTAATTCTATGTTTGGTCACTTTTTTGTCCATTTAAAATATTGTCATGTTTTTGTCAACTAAAAGTGTATTAGTAATATCTAGGTCATTATTTCATTCACTAATTCGTTATCACGAGTCTCGAGTATTGACACGAGTCACAAATACGAAAGTTATTCATTAAATTAATTTCACTTTATTTAAATCATTTTTTTAATCAAAATGCAACTATAAGTTAATATCTATCCCCTATAAGTTTTATAGACACTATAATGTAACATTTTGACACAATTATAGTCACTGAAGTTATCTGGATTATATTAAAGCATTGTTCTAAAACTCGTTATACGTTAGTTGAACGGTTGAGGGACACCTAACACCTAGAGGGCCGATTAAGCCGGGTGTTTTAGCTTACTAGACCGATTTCTTGATCGACTACGCTAATTTTTAGAATAGTGCATTAAAGTCATTAAAAGGGTTTATTTACGACGTTTAAAGCGAAGTAATATGAATATTAAAAGGGGAGAAACGGCTATGAAGCCTAAAAATGAAAATTCTATTAGTACACAAAATGTATACACCCCAAGTTAAGTGTGTACACATATAGATTATTTAGAAAAATGCAACAATTGTCTGTGCAATTGTGAGTATACAAAATGTCCATAAAATGTGTATACGTCTTTGTACATAGACAACTCTTTTAGAAAAAGACATTGATCGTTTCTGTACACATGTTAATGAGTATGAAAAAGATGATAAATATGTACATATTTTGTGTACACCAATTGTGGAGGTATTGGCCTATGGGCCAAAGCAGCTCTTCTCCCTCTTTGTTCGGCCCAACCCAGGTTGGTCCAAATCACTTCAGCCAGCCCAACAACTCCGCCCGTCTCTGGAACCATCTACTAGGGCTTACTCTTGTACCCTAGTATATAAGGCCTCTTATTAAGGTCTTACCCAGTTGAGACAAAAAAGATGCGTTGTGTTTGACTTAGAGAGAGGGGGTGAGAGAAGAGTGAGAGAGAGAGAGAGCTAGGGTTTTCTGATACCTTGCTCCTCGTCGTTCCTTTGTGCGACCTCTTCCTTTATTCTGCTCTCCTTGTCCGGTGTGTTACCTTCATTGGTGTTAAAGACAGTGCTTTGTGTGATCGTTTGAGTGTGGTCTGAGCTGGAGAAGTGAACACTCAACACCAATAATGGTTGAAAAAAGAATGAGAAATTCTTCTTATTCGCATTTTATATTTACATTAGTAAACATGTCCGTGAATATGCTAGTCTGTACATAGCTTGTAAACATGTCGGTGAACATGTTTTATCGATGTATTCTTACTTTATTCTTACTATATCTCGTGGATCAACATGTATAACAGTGTCTACAAAAATATACAGAGTAGTTTTTTTCAAGAAAAATGGCTAGCTAAGTGAGTATGAAAAAGGAGGGTAATTCTTGGTATATGCAAAATGTGTATACAAATTATACATTGCTTGTGTACACAAATATTTTGGCATAAACTTCTACCTTTTTTTCAAATGAATTGAATATAACTAATTTTGTACTACCTCTGTCACTCTAAGTTTGGGACAAAAGGGTGTGATGTGATTTTTAAGAAAAAATAGAATTGTGTGGTTGGTAACTTGGTATTGAATCGATAAAGTGTGAATAAAGTAAGAATGGATTCTAACCACTTAAATATTACTCCTTCCGTCCCGCCAACAATGAGACAATAGGCAGTGTCGCGCAAATCAATAAAAAGTGGTTTATGTTGTTGATATTGAATTGATAAAGTAAGAATAAAGTAAGAATGATTTAGAGCCACACAAACTTTACCAAAATTGGTATGGAACAATCTTAGTGGGACGGACCGATAAGGTAAAATGAGACAATCATAGCGGGACGGAGGTAGTACAAAATATGGTAGGCGACTTAAAGATAAAAGAGGACAAAATGAGGGAGTATATCATAAGAATTTTGGGAGAACTATCAAATAAGTCCTCGAACTTTCATAACATGTGCAAATAAGCCTTTTTATATGAAATTCTGTCCGGCCGTCGCCATTTGGAGCGGTTTCCAGTGGAATTTTTTGATAACATTTTTTGAGAATTTTCTTCATTAAGTCTAGTTTACTCATACCAAATTTCAGATAAAAATTCAACCGGGAAGACGGTCAAATGAATTTTTGAAGATAACTTCACAGTTAGGCAGTGCAATGTATTTCAGAAAATCATTTATCTGCCTTCTCGATTGAATTTTTAGTTGAAATTTGGTATGGGTAAACTAGACTGAACGAAGAAAATGCTCATAAAATTTCATCAAAATCTTCCACCGAAAAACGCCCAAATGACGACAGCCGAAAAAGCCTCCTATAAAAGAGAGCTTATTTATACTTTTCATGAAAGTTCCCTTATTTGCAATTTTTGATGAAAAAGTCTTGACCCGTGAGTCAACGTTAATGACTGAGAGCTGCGTACATTTTTCACAGCTTCGAACAAAACGACCGTCTAAGAGTCCGAATAACGGACCCCAACCACCGGAGATGGGAGGTCCCGCAGGACGTCCTCCCTCGCCCACAACCGCCGGAGGGGACCTTCCTCCCTCTGACGGGACATTCGATCTCAGCTCCTCAGTCAGACCTGGAATTCATTCTCCAGAACACTACCAACAGCCCATTCGGCTTCACGGTTCGCCGTCGTTCCACCGGCGACATCCTCTTCGACACCTCGCCGGTTCCCAACCGTCCTGAAACCCTCCTCATCTTCAAAGATCAGTACCTCCAACTCTCCTCCTCACTCCCCTCCAATAGAGCTAACCTCTACGGCTTGGGAGAGCACACCAAGAGGTCCTTCAAGCTGAGCCACAACCAAACTCTGACTCTATGGAACGCCGACATTGGGAGCGCCAATTTAGACCTAAATTTGTACGGATCACATCCTTTCTATATGGATGTCCGGTCGCCTGCAGGAGCCACTCATGGAGTATTGCTACTAAGCAGTAATGGCATGGATGTTGTGTACACGGGTGATAGGATCACTTACAAAGTCATTGGAGGCATTATCGACTTATATTTCTTTGCTGGCCCGACTCCTGAGATGCTGATGGATCAATACACTCAACTTATTGGCCGTCCAGCTGCAATGCCTTATTGGTCATTTGGTATGAAAGACAATTAACCTCTTTTTTCTTTTTATGAAACCTCATTTTCTCTTTCATTTTCGTGACTTGTTCATCTTGAAATCCACTTAGATGGAATGACGAATTGGCTTTTTTAAGTAAACCCTAGTTGCATTGATCCGAAATCCTGTGTAAGGGGTACCATATTTTTTGTATTACTCATTTTTATTTGTTGAAATCTTGTTAATTTTTGTTATACTAATTTATTATTAGTAATTCATCGATCAAATTTTTTTGGGACTAAAGCTAGGATGTGGTTGTTGTTGTTCATCAATCAAAATAAGTGGTACAAGAAATGTGGTACAAGAAATGTGGTATAGAAGACTTGAATGGTGTTGCATACTTGCACATATATATATATATATATATATATATATATATATATATATATATATCAATAGAGAGTTTAGAGATCTATGTTGTACTACGTATAACAAATAATCAATTCTCACAAGTTGATTATGATTATTGACTTTACTAATTACTATTGACCACATATTTTAGTTCACTGATCTCATAGTCCAAAACTAAGGTGGAGTATAATCCTTTTGTTCCATTTTTGTGAACCCTAATCATTATTCATTGAGATTAAGTTTTACCAATTGCTCAAATAGGCACAATTGCATTGGTTTATGTTGATGTAGAGTTTTGATAAACTGGCTGCTGAATTTTTTATAATAAATAACAATTGTAACCTATCTTGGAATTATATCACGGCATGGGCCTCATCAAATGAGTTATTATCAAAAATACTCCCTTCACCCCTTATAACTTTGTCATCCTTCCTTTTTTGGTTGTCCCAAAAACTTTGTCACTTTCCTTTTTAATAAATTAATTTGTGGTTCCTATATTTTATCTCTCCTCTACACAAACTTCGACCACACTATTTTTACTTTATTATTCTCCGTGTCAGTCAAACTTGGCAAAGTTTTGAGGGATGGAGGGAGTATCTGTTTTATGAGAAATGGAAACATAAAATTGGAAATTTGATAGCATGAGGTCTTCAAAAATTATTTATGATTTATGAACAATACAGAGCCCATATATGTATGAATATGTTTGAACACTGAAACGATAGACGTCTTTTTGCTCCTATTATATGTATGAATATGTTTGAACACTGAAATGATAGACGTCTTTTTTCTCCTATTATATTGTCATTTTGGCATTTAATTCTACGCTCTTGCTTTAAACAGTGTATTTCACTTTTTTACAATGTCGTTATGTGCTAGAGTCACAACCAGTTTGTGTTAACTGTTGAAACCCTAGTTGTATTGGGCTTAGCCCATCTTGTATAGTAACCCTAGTGCTCTAGTTTTTGCTATAAATATAGATACTTGTATAGTTCTTTATATCAAGATTCATTATAATGAAATACAGTTCATATAATTCACATGGTATCAGAGCCACTGTTTTTCATTATATGGCGGCGCACTGTAGTTAGGACACTGTTTTTCCGACGAGTATTTCCGGCGTGAACAGTAGCCGCGCTAGGTGTTGGAGCATTTCCGGTAGTGATTTATCAAATCTATGCCTACCGCCTTGCTCAGCGCACCATCGCGACCAACTCGCCGGAAACCGTACCAGCTCGGACTCATTCACGCGCCTACACGCGCCGCTTCTCTACCCACGGTTTACTGAACGATTTTGCAGATCTACTCCGTTTTACTCATCTGTTTTCAGTGTTTTCAGACACCTAGGTCTCCGACGACCTAGACCAGCCAGTCTGGTACGCCTAGGCTTCTCCACGCGCCGCCACATCCACACGCACCGCCGCCGCCGCCAGCGCATCCACACGCGCCGCTGCCGGGCGAACTGACCGCCAGAAACGCGCCGCCGGTCCAGACGCTCCACCACCGTCACTGCCTTCTGAGCAGACTTCTGCTGCTGCTTGTTCCACTGGTCACAGTAGTGGTTCTTCCATATTGTTTTGTTTTTGAGCTTACTGTTCCGCTTTACTGATTTGCCCGATCTTTTATTTGTTAAAAAAAACAAAAAAAAAAGAAAAAAAATGTCAAGTTTCTCTTCGTTTGCTTCAGTTCCAATCATCACCACCGATCGACTAGCTGGAAGTATTAATTATCAGTCATGGGCTATTTCCGTGGAGATGTGGTTCAAGGGTCAAGGTCAAATTGATCACTTGAATGTCGATGCAGCTACGATCAAAGACAAGCGGAATGAATGGGAGAATATGGATGCCTTATTGTGTAACGTGTTATGGCAATCTATGGATCCAAAACTTCATCCTACTTATCAATCATACCACACATGCAAACAGATTTGGGAAAAAGCGAAGGCCAACAACACAAATGACATCCAAAATCTGTTTTCCTTTGGTTCCAAAATTGCTACGCTCAAACAACAGGATTTGGACATTCAAGAGTTTCTAGGACGGACTGAGGCATTACTGTTTGAATATAATAATATTCAACCTATCACTGAGGATAAGGAGAAACAACTTGAGCAAAGACAACAACTTGTTATGGTTTTAACCTTAGCAGGTCTTCGCCCAGAGTTGTTATCAATCCGTGAGCAAATTCTCTCCAGTTCTTCTGTTCCTACAATGTCTGAAGCCTTTTCCAGAATTCTTCGAGCCGCCCCAATATCTGTTGACGCATCTTCTAGTGATTCTATCATTCTTGCATCTCAAGGTTCCGGGCATGATGGGGGAAATAAAAAAGGATATCCACGCCCTAATCGTCCCAAGTGTGATTTTTGTCATAGGATGGGTCATACTAAAGATAGGTGTTGGAAGTTACATGGTAAACCTCCCAGCTCTGCCAATGTTGCCCAAATCCCGCAAGTTCAAGTTGTGCTGCCTCTTGACGAATATGATGCTTATCAGAAATTTAAGCAGTCCACTTTGACTTCGTCAACATCAGGTACTTCTACAGCATGTGTGTCAAACACAACTAGCTCATGGATCATTGACTCAGGTGCTTCCGACCATATTTCTGGTAATCCCCATCTTTTATCCCATATTACAAAATACCAAACCTTCCATTAATCACTCTAGCCAATGGTCTTCACACTTCGGCTACGGGTATTGGGCAAGCACTCCCACTTTCATCCTTACCATTAGATTCAGTTCTATATGTTCCTCATAGCCCTTTTAACCTTGTCTCTGTTACCAAAATTACACGCTCTCTTAATTGTTTTATAACCTTTTATGCTGACTCTGTGACTGTGCAGGACCGTTGTACGGGGAAGATGATTGGCGTCGGGCGTGAATCTCAGGGCTTGTATCACCTCCAACCTCTTGATCCAGTTGTTTGTGTCTACTGAACCAGCACTTTCCTTACATAATCGTTTGGGTCATCCCAGTCTTTCCAAATTTCGACGTATGGTCCCAAGTTTCTCCAGTATTTCCTCTTTAGATTGTGAGTCGTGTCATCTTGGAAAGCAACCTCGTCAGTCCTTTCCAAGACGTGTCAATAAGTGGGCTGCGTCCCCTTTTGATTTGGTTCATACAGATGTACGGGGTCCGTATCGAGTCAATTCTACCCTAGGGTTTCGTTATTTTGTCATTTTTGTGGATGACTTCTCTCGTCACACGTGGTTGTTTTTAATGAAAGAACGTCTTGAATTGTTTCATATCTTTCAAAAGTTTTGGGCTGAAATTCACACCCAATTTGGACGTTCTATCAAGATTGTACGTAGTGATAATGCTAAGAAATTTTTTACCATTCCCTTTAATCAATTCATGACATCACGCGGTATGCTTCATCAGTCTTCTTGTGTTTATACACCTCAACAAAATGGGGTTGCTGAACGCAAGAATAGACATTTAATTGAAACTGCCCGTACTATGTTGTTACATTCACATTCACCACCACAGTATTGGGCAGATGCCATTCTCACTGCATGCCACCTCATTAACAGAATGCCTTCATCGGTTATTGGTAATGCCATTCCCCATTCTGTTTTGTTTCCTACTCAGGCACTGTTTCCATTACCACCTCATGTGTTTGGGTGTGTTTGCTTTGTCCATGATACCACACCAGGAATACCCAAAATGTCTGCTAGGTCAATCAAATGTATCTTTCTTGGATATTCCCGTCTTCAAAAGGGGTATCGTTGTTATTCCCCGGTACTTAGAAAACATTTTGTGTCCGTTGATGTCACTTTCCTTGAGCCCTCATTTTATTACCCGTCTCCCCTCCATGATACCCCCTCATGTGTTGACTTTCTTCCATATCTCAGACCCATCTCCACCCCCCTTACCGATGCTCCTATCGACCCATCTCCACCAACAACCCGTCCTTTACAAGTGTATCAACGACGCCCTCTCCCTCCACCCAATGAGTCCTCTGAGGTCACGCCTGTTGATTCCCCTACTTCGGATCCCACACCAACACAGTCAGCTACCCAAATGCCAGAGAACAATCATGATGATTTGCCCATAGCCCTCCGCAAAGGTACACGCTCAACTTTGAATCCTCATCCCATTTATAACTTTTTAAGTTATCATCGCCTCTCCACCCCTTACTTTGCCTTCACTTCACATTTATCTGGTGTCTGTATTCCTAAAACCACACATGAGGCATTATCACACCCCGAGTGGCGTCGAGCTATGTTAGCTGAAATGGAGGCTTTACATTCTAGGGACATGGGACTTGGTTCCCCTTCCTATTGGGAAATCAGTTGTTGAGTGTCGCTCGATCTACACAGTCAAAGTAGGACCAGATGGCAACATTGATCGTCTTAAAGCACGTCTGGTTGCAAAGGGGTATACACAAATCTATGGATTAGACTACACTGACACTTTTTCTCCTGTTGCAAAAATTGCATCTGTTCGTCTAATTTTATCCATGGCAGCAATGAGCCACTGGCCATTGTTTCAATTGGATATTAAGAATGCATTTCTCCATGGTGATTTACATGAGGAGGTTTATATGGAGCAACCACCTGGTTTTGTTGCTCAGGGGGAGTCTGGTTTGGTTTGCAGATTACGTCGTTCTTTATATGGCCTGAAACAATCCCCGCGTGCATGGTTTGGGAGATTTAGTGTTGTTGTTCGTGGTTTTGGCATGACTCGGAGTGATGTAGATCATTCCATATTCTATAGACATTCTGCAGGCAATAAATGTATCTTTCTTGTTGTATATGTTGATGACATTGTCATTACAGGTAATGATGACCAAGGAATTGCCCAACTCAAGGAATATCTTTTTAGCAAATTTCAAACAAAAGACTTGGGAAAACTAAAGTACTTTCTTGGTATTGAGGTTGCCCAATCAAGAAATGGAATTGTGCTCTCACACAGGAAATATGCATTGGATATTCTTGAGGAAGCAGGTATGTTGGATTGTAGGCCGGTGGATACACCAATGGATCCAAACTTCAAACTCGTGTCAGAACAAGGTGACCTCCTGTCCAATAAAGAGAGATATAGAAGGCTTATTGGGAAGTTGAACTATCTTACCATCACAAGACCTGATATTTCATTTGCTGTCAGTGTGCTTAGTCAATTTCTTGATAAGCCATGTGATGGACATTGGGACGCAGCTATCCGAGTCTTGAGATACATCAAGAAAACTCCAGGACAATGATTACTCTTTGAAGATCGAGGGCACCGTGACATTGTTGGATATTGTGATGCAGATTGGGCTGGATGTCCAATGGATAGACGTTCTACTTCTGGATATTGCATTTTGATTGGTGGGAATTTAATTTCTTGGAAAAGTAAGAAACAGGATGTGATTGCCAGGTCTAGTGCTGAAGCAGAATATCGTGCAATGACCCTTACTTCATGTGAGATATTATGGTTGAAGCATCTCCTCCAAGAATTAAAATACGGAAGCATGAAACCCGTCAAGCTAATGTGTGATAATCAAGCTGCAATGCACATTGCTTCCAATCCAGTGTATCATGAGAGGACTAAACACATTGAAGTTGATTGTCACTTTATTCGAGAAAAAATCACAAATGGACATATTACTACTCATTATGTCAAAACAACAGATCAACTTGCAGATATTTTAACCAAGTCTCTTAGAGGACCTAGGATGCAATATATTTGTAACAAACTTGGTGCATATAATTTATATGCTCCAATTTGAGGGGGAGTGATGAAACCCTAGTTGTAGCCCATCTTGTATAGTAACCCTAGTGCTCTAGTTTTTGCTATAAATATAGATACTTGTATAGTTCTTTATATCAAGATTCATTATAATGAAATACATTTCATATAATTCACATTAACCATTGCTGACGAGTGATGAAGAAATTTGCTTTAGACTAGCATGTCTTCTTTTTCTTTTTCTATTGGTGTATGGTGTAATTCTAACTACCAGTTCAAAGCTTCAACACTCCTTCCTATGCAATCATCAATATGTATTGTACAGTCAAACATAAAATTTTATGATGCATTTTATTTAACTTATTATGATTACAAGAAAGTGAAAATAAAACTTCATTTTAAGCTTTTTTCTCTCAAATGGGTGTAGGCTTTCACCAGTGCAAATGGGGTTATAAGAGTGTTTATGATCTTGAAAGAGTGGTTACTAGTTATGCAAAAGCTGGGATTCCTTTGGAAGTTATGTGGAATGACATTGATTATATGGACGGTTTCAAGGATTTTACACTTGATCCAATCAACTTTCCTCTGGACCTGATGAAGAATTTTGTTGATAGGATTCATCAAAATGGTCAAAAGTATGTGCTGATACTTGATCCAGGTAAATCATATATGTTAGATCCCAGGTTGAAGCATCTTTACCTTTCTACCCCCACAATCTATAGACAATTACAATGAGTATGATGATCACATCGCTTTATCATAGGTATTAGCATTAATGCTACTTATGAGACTTACATCAGAGGGATGGAAGCTGACATCTTCATAAAACATGAGAATAAGCCCTATAAAGGAGTTGTTTGGCCAGGGGATGTATACTATCCTGATTTTCTAAATCCATCTAGTGGAATATTCTGGAGCAATGAAATCAACAAGTTCCACGGTCATCTCCCTGTAGATGGCATTTGGCTTGACATGAATGAGCTATCAAACTTCATCTCATCCTCTGGAAACTCATCTGTCCTTGACAACCCTCCATACAAGATCAACAACTCGGGAGATAAAGTATCAATAAATCATAACACAGTTCCAGCTACTGCTCTTCACTTTGAGAATGTTACCGAGTATAACGCTCACAGCCTGTATGGATTGTTAGAGTCCAAAGCAACACATAGTGCGTTGGTTAAAGTCACCAGTAAAAGGCCCTTTATACTTGCTAGGTCGACATTTCTTGGCTCGGGGAAATACACTGCACATTGGACTGGAGACAATGCTGCTACTTGGAACGACTTAGCATATTCGATTCCTGGTATCCTAAACTCTGGACTGTTTGCCATACCAATGGTTGGGGCAGATATATGTGGATTTTCAAGAAACACAACTGAAGAACTCTGTCGACGTTGGATTCAGGTTCTTTATGCCAGGCTTTTTGTTTATAAAATTAGTAAAGAAAGCAAAGTATTACAACGCGAGGGATACATGTTACATAAAATGTTCGGAAATTTTAATATTTTAACTGCACATCAGACTTTTCAACGAATGGTATATGATCACACCCCTTTTCATCTTTTATTTCTTTCACTGGTCTTTTCCTAATATTTTCTGTTCACGTGCAAATGTATCATGATGATGGGTTTAGAATTTGCCACCATGTTGTTCTAGCATGATTATATAGTCTTAACTAATTTTAGACAATCAATTGGCACTATAACTTCCATGCCATCAGCCCAACTAGTTGAGATTATGTTTAACAAATATGATGGTGGTTACTTCACTAAAAAGGATTAAGCTTAAGTTTCATTTCAGCTTGGGGCTTTTTATCCATTCTCAAGAGACCACTCTTCAAACGATACAATCAATCAAGAGCTCTATGTCTGGGATTCAGTTGCCACTGCAGCTAAGAAGGTGCTGTCACTCCGTTACCAGTTGCTTCCATACTTTTACACATTGATGTATGAAGCTCACCTGAAAGGAACTCCAGTAGCAAGACCTCTTTTCTTCTCATTCCATCAAGACACCAACACGTATGATATTAGCTCTCAGTTCCTTCTAGGTAAAGGTGTCATGATCTCACCTGTATTGTCACCGGGAGCTAGCTCTGTTGACGCCTATTTCCCAGTTGGAGTCTGGTTTGATCTCTTCAATAACTCGAATTCCTTGAGTTTGAGTCAAGGAAAAACCCTCATGTTGGAGGCACCTCCCGATCATATAAACGTTCATGTTCGTGAAGGGAACATATTGGCTATGCAAGGGGAAGCAATGACTACACGAGCTGCTCGACAAACAACATTCAAACTTCTTGTTGTTTTGAGCAGCAGTGGGAACAGCACAGGAGACCTATTCCTAGATGATGGGGAGGAAGTGGAGATGGGAAAAGAGGGAGGGAGATGGACACTGATAAAATTCTGTGGGAACGTCATTGGCAACAGAGTCATGGTTGAATCGCAAGTCATCAATGGGGAGTTTGCAATAACTAGTAGATGGGTTATTCAAAAGGTGGCATTTCTAGGGTTGGAGCATGTGAGACAATTTAAAAGCTATAAACTTGGCCAAAGAATCGGATCAATATGGAAGCAGAACCGCAGAATGATGAAAGGTATTAAAGTGGGGCGAAAAAATGGTGCTATGGAAGTCACTGGGATGACAATACCAGTTGGGCAGGAGTTCAAACTTGAGCTAGAGGCCAATGCCTAGGAGGAGATTTGTGCAAAGATGAAAATCAGTGTTTCCAAGCTAATAAACTGTTAGTACTTCCTTTTGGCATCTAATAATGTGATAATGATTAATAAAGTATTTATGCCCCCTGCGACAGTTCATCCGTAATGATTCAGAGTGTAATTTATATCCCACGTTTGTATAGTTAAGGTATGGTCATGTTTCATTATTATGTTACGATGTTGATCTTTTAATAACACACTACATTTCAAGCTCGTGCGATGTACACCACTAAACATGCAAGTTTTCTAATTTATACAAAAACACTAAACTTTTTTTGTATTTGAAAGAAACATTTTTGTTTTATTTTGCAAGGATATTAATTATGTTCTTAATTAATTATAACACATGCGCCTTTGACGCATATTTAAATCACAAGTGGCGGGATTTATGCATCACGGTTGAGTTTGGTACATTAAACTCCAAAATAAAATAAAAAGACTTGGGAAACATCATCTGCATGAAACTCCAAGATTGGACCCAATTCTTATTGTTTGTTTGTTTGGAGGTGAACTAAGTTTTTCTATATTTAATTTTAGATTCACCTCATTTGTTTCCTATAAAGGCTATAATATGATATAAGAATCTAGTTTTAAATAGAACTTAGGTTTTACCACATGCAATTGTCAAAAACCTCAAATACCGAGTCTTGGAGAACCTGTGAATTATAGATTTTCATAGGTTAAGTTCTCTTAATAAGTAAATTTAACATATTCACCTAGATTAACATTCTCCAAAACATACTCTTACTGCATTTGGGTTAACCTAGTAATTATCCATACGACAATTTTATATATGCATTTGGGTTCATCCAGGTTCACACGATTTTAATAAACTTAGGTCCGTAAATATAAGGAAGAGAGGTGAGAAGACCAATGAAATAGTGGAGCAGCACAAAGTCTGGTTGAAGAAGACATAATGCATCGTAATGATAAATGGATAGATTGGCACAATAAGAGGATATTGGTTATTTGTTTGGTAAATAGCGTTAAAGCTGCTTTTTAAATTAATCGATGCATATGAAATATTTAAAATTGCTAATAAAAAATTTAAGAAGTTAGATGAGTACGTATATGATGCATCCGGGTGTACGTACATCAGGCCCAAGTAACAAAGACAAGCCCAACTATTAATACAGGTCAAAAAAATTCGGTGCCAATTTTGTAATTTTGATGAAAATCGTGATTTGTCTGGAATGAGCATTAATGCAAGTTTGGTGAGCATCATCTCTATTCTTTTGAGTAATATGATCCTAAAAATGAGTATCGTGAAATCTGCTTCAAATCTTCTAATGTAATTTTTTTCACTCCGTATTTGTTTAAAAAAGATTTATGAAATTATGTCTATAATCGATTTCAATTTAAAACAATATGCGAATTTAATGTAGTATAATAATTTTAAACTATGCATTATTGAAATGACATTTTAAAATGAGCATACCATTACTACCAAATGAGCATACATAACTTACGAAATGAGTATCAAAAAATTTAAAAACGTATTTCTGTGTGCTCATTCATTTTGGACGTTATACTCATTTGAATATAACATAAAACTCATTTCTATTGTGCTCAATATGTGCTCAATATTCATTTGTGTATTGATATGACATTTTAAAATGAGAATAAAATGAATATTAAACGAGCATACGTAACTTATAAAATGAGATATAGAAAAACAAAACATTAATATCTAAAATATTTTATAATTGAATAAAGATTGAAATAAAAAAATTAAGAAAAAGAAAGAACTAAAGTTAGAAAAGTTAAAGTTCAAAATTAAAGGAAAACAAAAAAGAAAAACAGAAGCAGAACAAAGAAAAGGAAAAGTTAATGCGTTTTTTTGCAAAAGAAAAGTCAATGTTACAAAATTTAAAGGTCAAAATTAAGAGAAAAGAAAAAGGGAAATAGAAGCATAAAAAGAAAAAGAAAAAACGAGAAGCATAGATACAGATGAATGATAAGTGAGTGGGAGAAAATGTAAAATGCAAAAGGTGAAAGAGAGCTAGAAAAGAGTGCGTCAGATGAAGAGAAAAACGGAGGAGACAAATACTTGACTCCATAATTAATAACCTGCATCTTGCAAATAATCATAAAAATACCGGGTGTACTTGTACACCCGGGTGTACTGTATAATTTGCCAAGTTAGATGGTGTTGCAAAGAGATTGAGGAACAAAGTGTTGTTAAAATGATTGTCGGTGATTTGTTGATGGAGAAGAGGAAGAATCTATATTGGACATTGTGGACATATCATTGTAGGGGTTTTGTGTTGAAAAAATATCATAGAGAAAACTTCTTGGGGAAAAATTACAATTTACATCTATTACCACACAGGTCTTATTTGTTTATTATATAAATTTACTAAGTATGGTGAATTAATAAAACCTGATATGACTTCACCACTTCGTATAATTAGATTGTGAGAAGTGTGCATGAGAATAAGAGATCATTGATATGAATGATGACGTCTAATGAATGTAAATCCGATCAATATGAAAACACTATAAATGGCAAGTTGATGGGAAACTGATAAAGAGTTTCATAAGAGTAATTTTCAATCGGTGAAGGGATGTGATGGAGTATATGGCCCAGGGACCCCTGACCCACATACTTTCACAACTGCAATTAGGCTCAACAGATTCAAATGGGCCAACCCCAGCAAAATGAAGCTCTAAGAAGCCCACAATACGTAAGGGAGTGTCTTTGGCCCCATGATCGAAGGCTATCGTTGACAGAATTGAGCTCAGAAACATCACAGGGGAACAAGGCTCGAAAACCAAGCCTTCGGCACTTATAGCCCTCGGCCCCCGGTTAGAAGAGCCTTCGACCCAACACCCTTCAGCCGAAGGCACCTCCCTCGATAGAATATCCTCTCCACATGTGCCTGAACCACCGTACCAAGTACAACGTCACATCCAACCACCACATTTAATGCGGCCACATGCAAATGCCGGTGCCGCCCTGATTGAGGTGACCCTCGACCGTCGGATGCTTGACACGTGCCTCTGTCTAGCCTTTATTGCTGCTATAAATAACAACCCATTTCTCCATTGTAAACCACACTAAGTTCATTTAATACACTTGACTCTCTCTCTCTTACTTATTTGCTCTGACTTCTCTCTAAGTTATTCCCGCAATAACCCCCCAGATAAGCTACCCCGGGTACACGATTCATTAGGATGTATACTCCCTAGCTAAGGTGTGATAGAAACCTAGACTTTTGGGCTTAATATTTTAATAAAATGTAATAGTGGGTTGGTTCAATTAATTAGATAGATTGATGGAAGCCTCATTTGGAAAAGAATAAATAGAGGGAGTATACCAGCACCGTCCCTCATTTTCAGACGAGCGCCCAACGCCGTCCATCATTTTCAGACGAGCGCCCAGCGCCGTCCCTCATTTCAGACGAGCGCCCAGCGTCGTCCCTCATCTCAGACGAGCGCCCAGCGCCGTCCATCATTTTCAGATGAGCGCCCAGTGCCGTCCCTCATCTCAGACGAGCGCCCAGCGCCGTCCATCAAATTAGACGAGCGCCCAGCGTCGTCCCTCATTTTCAGACGAGCGCCTAGCGCCGTCCATCATTTCAGACGAGCACCCAGCGCCGACCTTCATCTTCAGACGAGCGCCCAACGCCGACCTTCATCTTCAGACGAGCGCCCAGCGCCGTCCTTCATCTTTAGACGAGCGCCCAGCTCCGTCCTTAGACGAGCGCCCAGCGTCGTCCCTCATCTTAGACGAGCGTCCAGCACCGTCCTTCATTCTGAGACGAGCGTCCAGCGCCGTCCCTCATTTTCAGACGAGTGCCCAGCGCCGTCCATCATTTCAGACGAGTGCCCAACGCCGTCCTTCATCTTCAGACGAGCGCCCAACGCCGTCCTTCATCTTCAGACGAGCGCCCAGCTTCGTCCTTAGACGAGCGCCCAGCGCCGTCCCTCATCTTAGACGAGCGCCCAGCGCCGTCCTTCATTCTTATACGAGCGCCCAGCACTGTCCCTCATTTTTTAGACGAGCGCCCAACGCCGTCCCTCATTTTCGACGAGCGCCCAGCGCCGTCCATCATCTCAGACGAGCGCCCAACGCCGTCCATCATCTCAGACGAGCGCCCAGCGCCGTCCCTCATTTTCAGACGAGCGCCCAGCGCCGTCCCTCATCTCAGACGAGCGCCCATCGCCGTCCCTCATCTTCGGACCAGCTCCACCGTCCTACATGATCAGTCCAGCACCAACGCCTTGCCTCGTCATCATATTATAGGACCGGCTCCTCATCGCCGTTGTCCTCACATCACGACCGGCCCCTCGGCCTCAGCGTGATCATCTATCTCAAGACCGGCTTCCTCAGCGCCGCGAGTCTTGAGCCAGCGATCGGGCTCACCATCCCTTCCTGGATGGTGACCATCGCCTTTATATGACGATCAGCTTCATCAGCGCCTCGTCATCATATTATAGGACCGGCTCCTCATCGCCGTTGTCCTCACATCACGACCGGGCCCTCGGCCTCGGCGTGATCATCTATCTCAAGACCGGCTTCCTCAGCGCCGCGAGTCTTGAGCCAGCGATCGGGCTCGCCATCCCTTCACGGATGGTGACCATCGCCTCTATATGACGATCAGCTTCACCATCGCCTCGTCATCATTATTTGGACCGACTCCTCATCGGCGTCGTCCTCATATCACGACCGACCCCCTCGGCCTCGACGTGATTATTTATCTCGAGACCGGTCTTAGTCATTCCTTTACCGGATGGCGACCGTTGCATGGATCTTCGGACCGGCCCCTCAGTGCCTTTGTCCTCACATCACGACCGGCCCCTCGGCCTCGGCGTGATCATCTATCTCAAGACCGGCTTCCTCACCGTCGCGAGTCTTGAGCCAGCGATCAGGCTCGCCATCCCCTCCTGGATGGTGACCGTCGCCTTTACATGACGATTGGCCCATCATGGCCTCGTCATCATTTATTGGAACGGCTCATCATCGCCGTCATCCTCACATCGCGGCAGACCCCTCGGTCTCAACGCGATCTTGAGCTAGCGATTGGGCTCATCATCCCTTCCTGGATGGTGACCATCGCTCTATATGACGGCCGGCTCATCATTGCCCCGTCATCATATTTCGAATTGGCTTTTTTCATCGCCATCCGCGCATCACGACCGGCCCCTCGGCCTCGGCGTGACTATCTATCTCAAGACCGGCTTCCTCAGCGCCGAGAGTCTTGAGCTAGCGATCGGGCTCGCCATCCCTTCC